CTGGTAGAAAATGGTGGACAGTTGTGAAGAGTTAGATGAATATTATATATGATGTTAATAAATTTTAGTAATAAATATATAATCATATATCATCGGATATCAGTGTGGTAAATCAGATGTGCTGATTCGAGGTATTTTCCCGGCGCAGTTGATACCAACCTTCCGACGGTTGCCTGGGGAGTGCCGCCAGGAGCACCTACAGGTCGCCCTGCACAGGACTTATGTATATTGGGAAACTTCCATTTAGTATACAGTTGCAGTTACTCAAGCCGTGTTTTTTTTTTGAATGCATATAATATACATTATATATATATGTATGTTCACACGTACTGTATATGTGGCGCTGAGAACACGTGTGCCTATCTGCAGGCATTGAAAAACCATGACATGGGCCAAACGTTGCGCCCTGGCTGCGTCAGAAAGGGTTGTGGCTGTTGAGGGTACTCCTGGTTGTGACAGTCGTGGCGGTTTCATCCTTTTTTCGTATTATGCTTGGCGGAGCAATTTGAGGAAGTGTTGCGATTGTGGCGTTTAGTTGGTGAGTTGTAAATCTTGAAGTGGGTCATATGCTTAGATGATTTGGTGCAAAAATGGCGTTTAGCTTGTGGTTTGCTCCGGCTAGGGAGCTCAAATATGGACATAGGTGAACATAGGTCATCCCAACCTGCTGCACAGTGCCTGGTGATTCTTCTCCCTGAGTCACCCTGGCGCAGGGTCCTCATGGTTTTGCTTTGTCTCTTCGCCAGATAGGTTTAGCATGGTTTAGCTATCTTTGGCTATGAGTTATCAATCAGTCCTTTTGCTGGAGCTGACTGCCCAAATTTGTAGCTACCACCTTGTGTGCCAAGCTCGCCCTTTTGTCTCCTCCTTGCTTTTGCCCCGGCTGGTGCTTTTCGTCCAAGCTTGCCTTCCTTGGTTTCCTCTTCTGCTCTACTTCTGAGAGCTCATTGAGTTCTATTGTTTGGGAAAGAAGGCAAAAGCGCGCGGCTACCAAAGAGTTTAGGGGGGTCAGTCTCCTAAAAGTTGATTCGGACCTCGTAAGGACCTAGTTCGCACCCTGTTCGGACCTCCTTAAATGCAGCCAGTCACAACTCAGAAATGACAGGTCTTGAAAGGTTTTCCAATGGCAAGGTTTAGGTGATTCTTGTCTGGGAGAAGAGCCAAGTAAGGAGAGGGGACAGAGGAGATAGGAGACAGTTCAGCTGCTGCTGCTGCTGCTGCTGCTTGTCCTGCTGTTTGTCCTGCTGCTTGCCCTGCTCGTTCTGCTTCTGCTGCTGCTGCTGCTGCTGCTGCTGCTGATGCTTATCCTGCTGCTGGTGCTACTGCTGGTGGTGGTGCTGGCACTGCTGCTGGTACTTCTGCTACTTCTTTTTGTTTGCGAAGTTGGGGGAAGATGAATGGCCAAAGGGACTGGCAAGGGTGTGATCATGAGAGCCAGCGTTCTACTGCAAAGTAACATAGAATCATCTTCTCAGCATACATTGCAAGGACTTTCGCGTTTGGGTGCACTTGTGACGAAATGTTTTGTAGACAGGACACCCAGGACTAGATCGTAGATATCCTGGAAGCAAAAGCTGGGCCTGTCTTCATGGTTCCCTAAAAGTGGCCATAACTTCGGGTTTTTGTGGCAGAGCGGTTTGTGAAGGATTAAAAGCTAGCAGCGGACCCACAAGAGTTGAATGTCATTGGGGGCTGTTGAAGGGTAGTTGTGAATATGCCTTGTAGAGGGCAGGCAAGACTAGATCGACGAACAAAGAGACATCCCGAAACTAAAAGTGGGGCCGTCTTCATGGGTCCCACAAATGGCCATGACTTCTGGTTCTGTGAAGCGAAGGGGTTTGTAAAACACGTCAAGCGAGCAACTGACCCACAAGCGAGTGGAATGTCTTGAAGCCACGCATCTCCACATGCTTCGTTAAAACGGACGCAGTGGGAATATGGCCTCTAGGTATGTGCGGCGGTGCGCCATGGTCAATGTTGCTTCTGCCTTCTTCCCAGCAACCGAAGCACCGAAATAGCAGAATCGATTCGACAGCATTTCAGCATTCACTGTGATGACCATCTCCCATGAAAACCAAAAGGCCAGTGTTAGGTTTGGAAAGAAGGATCATGCGCAGGTTAGATGTACATACATGTTACCTCCCGTGATCTTTGCAGATTCCACATGTCCAAAAAAAGAGGCGTGCCACCAATAGCACAGTGCAGGTTCAGATCTGTGGTGGCAAAGGATCTATCCATTGTGCTCCAGCACAGGGCCTATAGCGAGGCGCATGTTTTGGGGGCCGGGAAACCATTGTGCAGGGATCAATGGCTGTGCAGTTAGGAGTTGGCAATTGCCCAGACGTAAGTAAGGGATTGGCTGCGTGAAACCAAATTCAAGGAATACACTTAAGCAGCATCGACCTGCTCGGGGAGGACCAAGATGTGAACTGCGGAGAGAATGCAGGGGAAGGCCTCAAGAAGCTGAGCATTCCCAAGCGTCTGTGGCCAGTATTTGGCCACAGCGCTGTGCCTTGGCGGTGAAGAGGCAAAGTGCGTATTTCTTGTGGCACAACAAGATCAGGCTAGCAGAGTGAGTATGGCCAAAAGAGTTGGTGACAGGAGGGTGATGTTGAACATGTATTGGCAAGGCCAGTTGGTTTGAGTTTCTGTTATGGTCATGCCAGGTGTGAGCATGTCACGTAGTTTGGATACCGTGTCCGTAAGAAAGGCTCCAAAGGTGCCCGCACAAAACAAACACAGACCTGTCACAGTGTCCTACGTCATTTGGCAACCAGGCGCACAAAGCGCGCTCCATGTTGGGAGAGCGGCAGGAATTTCTGCCGCAGCTGACTTTGCAAAGCGTGTATCACTATGCATGCGAACTGCAGCAGCAAGAAAGCCGCAAGGTGCAAAGTTACTTGGCTGCAGCTCTGCACTGTTGCAGACTGTTTCAGCGCAGCATCCTAAAGACATGGGCTTTCAAACTCCCAGTAACGGTGGAGCAAAAGCCAGCAGGATGCAGTAGGATGGCCGATGCAGGACGACACCACAATTCGGAAGTACTGGAACTTGTGTCTCGAAAGGGATAGCATTAACATCACCCTGAGTCTCGGAAATTAGTAAAAATTACATTTTTAGTGATTTACTAAATTCGACCAATTTACTGTAAATGTTTGTCCCGGAAAATTTACCTAAAAATGCACCTAAAAAATGGACCTAAATTTCATGTACTTTTTGTTTCCTAAATCATAAATCTGTGCTAGGTTTTTTTGGGGGTCTATTTTGTTGTGAAGAAGAGCTAGGTTTTAATTTTTGTTTTTTTTTTTAATGTTGACTGTGTTTCTTTTGTGTGATTTTTTGTTTGGAGAAGATGAGTTATCATAAAAAAAATATATGGTTTGGTAGAGAAAAGTATTGTTTTGGTTGTAGAAAAAAGATACGTGTATGGTAGAAGCAACACAGAATAGTGACACAAGTAACAGTAATGCTGTTGCAAAAGTAGTTGAAGCCCTTTTTTTCTTCGCTAGCATTTGCAGCGAATGGCTTGCAAGTGTTTATGTTTCAGAGCAGCTACATTTCCGACTGCATAATGATTGTTGCCTGAAAGGCATGATTTCCGTGCTGTCAAGGTCACGTGACTGTCAAACCTTACAGTGCTCAGAGTTTGAAAAAAGAGAAAAGGAGTATTGGGCATTGTTGTTTCTTATATGTTTTACTTTTGTTGGGTGACTTTACTTGTGAGATTGAGTTACTTCAGTTCATGTTACTTGTGATTAGTCAATTTACTCGAGCGTTTGCATTCCTTGGTGTTATGATTGTTATCTTGAAGTTTTGCATTACTTGATATCATTTTACTTGTGATCAAGATATTCAATGTACAATATTGCAACTGAAACTTTGCTACAACAACATTTTAAAAATACAAACCAAACAAAACCAGAGATCAATAATTACAAAAATAAAATAAAAAAATAGAAAATTATAAAAATGTATATGTAGTTTATATGCAGTTTATATGCAGTTTATATGCACTTTTTCAAAAGTGCATACTACATGTAGTTTTCTTAAAAGTACATGTAGTTTATATGCACTTTTAAAAAGTGCATACAAACTACATATAAACTGCATATGAACTACATAAAGACTACATACATACTACATAGAAACTACATAAAAAGTACATATAAACTACATATAAACTACATATAAATTACACATAAATTTTATTTAAACTACATATAAATTACACATAATTTTTTAACTACATATAACATATCTCAAAGCTATTTAGAAGGTACATGATAATTACTTCCAAATGAATGCCATGCAAAACAAATACATACACAAACAATATATACAATGTACATAGTTTCCATGTTAGTTCTTAAACTGCTTTCAAACCAAAATCAAACTTAAATCAAAAAACAAAAACATACAATCAATCCAGAAAAGAAAAACATCATACAGATTCTCTGCAATCTATTTTCTTGCCATTTTTTGGTTTCATACCAATTAAATCATCAACAGTGTATCCTGTCTCCTACTTGATTTCATATATATTTCACCAGGTGAACCATTTTCAATCTTTCTTGAGTCAGTAAAATCATAATACATCACGAGTAACTCTGCAAGGATCGTCACAAGTAACAACTACAAAAAAACACAAGTAAGCTCTTTTTCAATCATATTTCGTGATTTGCGAGACTAAAACCGACACAAATCACAGCACATCCTATCAAATTTCATCATCAAACCAATCTCGTAATGTTTAAAAATATATGGTCAAATAACATATTTTTTGAACAAAAATAACCAAAAAAAATACATCCCAAAAATTAGGTTGCAACCTAAATTTGCACCTAAATTTGGGTGCAAATTTAGGTGAAAAAAGATAGGTGAAAATTTACCTAAATTTTTCCACCTAAAACAAAAAAATACCTAAATTTTTGAAATGTAATTTTTACCAATTTCCGAGACTCAGGGCAACATCTGTTGCGAAATTGTATGATCGGTGGAACATGCTGTGCCGTGTCAAGAAACGCCAGTGCTTTGTGTCTCGGGCGCCAATTTTGGTATTTGAAATATGCAGGAAACGATGTGTAAATCCATGTGCTTCAACCATTACAGGAACCAACATGTGACATAGACAAACGTGCGAGCAGGCTTTAATCAGCATTGCCTTGGCATAGATAGACCTGCCGCGAAAAATTGCTGCTGAGGAGCAGCCATGAAAAGACGATCAACAAAAGCTGCGAGAGTTGCTGTGGAAAGGCCTGTGGAAGGGTTTGAAGGAAGCGTTTGAAGCGTTTGGCGGCGGGCAAACAGAGTTTCAACGCCGTGTGAAACAGATGGCTGGGGCGTGTAGCTGCAACAGTTGCTTTGGAAAGGCCATGCGGAAGGCCTGCGGGAGGCTTTGAAGGGTTTGAGGGCAAGCAAACGGCAGGCTTGAACGCCCTTAAAGACAGATGGCTGGCGCAAACGGCCGGCTGGAACGCCCTTAAAAACAGATGGCTGGGGCGTGTAGCTGCGAGAGTTGCCTTGGAAAGGCCTGCGGAAGGGTTTGAAGATGTTTGAAGCATTGGCTGGGGCGTGTAGCTGCGAGAGTCGCCTTGGAAAGGCCTGCGGGAAGGTTTGGTCGTGGGAGCTGCCGCCGCGCGTTTGAAGCCTTTGACGAGAGTTGCCTTGGAAAGGCCTGCGGGAGGGCTTGAGGGGTTTGAAGGCGGGCAAACGGCAGTCTTGAACGGCCTTAAAAACAAATGGCTGGGGCGTGTAGCTGCGAGAGTTGCTGTGGAAAGGCCTGCGGAAGGGTTTGAAGGAAGGGTTTGAAGCGTTTGGCGGCGGGCAAACAAAGCTTCAACGCCGTGAAAAACAGATGGCTGGGGCGTGTAGCTGCGACAGTTGCTTTGGAAAGGCCTGCAGAAGGCCTGCGGGAGGGAATTCCCAGGCGCCGCCCCTGCCTTGGCCAAAGCAGGGGTCGGCGGATATATATATGTACCTACATATATGTGGAGGTTTCCTAAAATAGGCGTACCCCCAAATCATCCATTTTAGATCGGGATGTTCCCTTATAAACCATCAATTTTGGGGTACCCCCATTGATGGAACCCCCCATATATGGAAACCGAAGAGATAAGCATCGAAAACGAGGATTTGGCCAAGACACATTGGAGTCTTTTTCCATTAAAACTGCTGCGACAGTTGCTGTGGAAAGGCCTGCGGAAGGCCTGCGGGAGGGTTTGAAGGGTTTGAGGGCAAGCAACGGCAGGCTTGAACGCCCTTAAAAACAGATGGCTGGGGCGTGTAGCTGCGAGAGTTGCCTTGGAAAGGCCTGCGGAAGGGTTTGAAGCATTGGCTTGCGAGAGTTGCCTTGGAAAGGCCTGCGGGAAGGTTTGGTCGTGGGAGCTGCCGCGGAGCGTTTGGGCCCTTTGAGGCTTGGCAAACCGCTGAAACACAGACAAGCAATTGTTGCTGGAATGTGAGGGCCATGGCCGTGACAAAGCAGGTTCCACACCTCCGGTGGTCCCAGACGCCGCCCCTGCCTTGGCCAAGGCAGGGGTCGGCGGATATATATATATATATATATATATGTACCTACATATATGTGGAGGTTTCCTAAAATAGGCGTACCCCCAAATCATCCATTTTAGATCGGGATGTTCCCTTATAAACCATCAATTTTGGGGTACCCCCATTGATGGAACCCCCCATATATGGAAACCGAAGAGATAAGCATCGAAAACGAGGATTTGGCCAAGACACATTGGAGTTTTTTTTCCATTAAAACTAGGGTACAAAAGGACAATGTTACGGGGATATGATATACCCTCTGGTAAACTAACATAGCTATGGAAAAGCACATTTTTTTAATGGGTAAATCAACTATAAATGGCCAATAGCTATGTTTGTTTACCAGAGGGTAATGAGATATGAGACATAATACAAGCAACAATTCAATAGTGACATCTGTTGGAAATGAGGGATACATACCTCTAAAATTGATGGAAACACATCCCACAGTATGGAATCACTGAGTCAAGGATGATATGAAAGAAATACTTCAAATGGGACTTAAAGATAATGGGGTAACAGTGAATCAAAGATATGGTTTTCATGGAGTTGATTCAACTATTCAATAAAGCCAAAAACATCAAAGATGTAACTCAGTACGCTGCAGAATTAGAAGTACTGGAAACCGCTGAATTCATGTGTTTCATCGTGTTTCTCCAAACAGCAGCCTCAGTAATACACAGAAATAAGAGAACTTAACATATTGAAAACCGTATTCTAGGCATTAACTGGTAATTTAACGTAGCTATTGGAAATTGCAATTTATAAATTGCCAATTGCCACAGTTGATTTACCTATTAATAGCATGGTGATATTCCATAGCTATGTTAGTTTACCAGAGGATATACCACATATAAGGCCTAAATTTCAGTTGGAAACATTTTGAAAACCATATTTTAGGCAACAAACCATGGATTTTCCCATTTGTTCATGGGTTTTCCTGTAATTTTTCACTTAAGCCTTAAACCAATCCATTGGTCATGTTGGTGGCGTTTTTGTCACCATTCTCCAGCCATGTTAACATCAGTCCCAGCAGGTGACCCAAACCTCGCCCGAGGTGATGATGGAAAACACTGAGCTCTTGGAGATGCAACCAGATCCTCGTTGAACGCGCGTCAAACGCGTTTCGCGAAAAAATGGTGATGTTTGATGTTGCAGGTTGTTCTGCAATAGGCGCAACAGGGCTAAACTAAATCAAAGGAAACTCCCTAGGAGACATACCGGTTGAAGTTCATGTGGTAAACACTGCCATATTAAAAAAAACACATGAACCATTGGACCCAGGTTTCATCCGGCAAAATGGTGCCCAAAAAATCCGGGACACGTGATTGGGTTTGCTGACCAAAAAGAGGATTTCAACTGTAGGAACCAGACCGGAACTGCTGCAGAATCAAAGCCGATGTTACAAATTTCTCAACACAACACCTCAATTTACTGCGTATAGCGTATAATGTGTCAAGATTGAAGACTCTGGGACCTTCAATAGTTTGAAATATTTATATAAATTCAAGGCCATCAACAATTTTGAGGATGCGCAATTCTGTTCCTTGCATAATCTACATATTATAACTATATAAATACAGGTAAACTGGCATAGGCACTTCAATCATATGTCAAATCAAACTGACATGTATCTATATAGAATCACAAATGTACTATATATATATACATATAATTATGTATGTATATATATATACATATATATATATATCATTATGATATACAATTAATACAAAATAAATTCGATGGTGTGATTTGTTTTGCCAGTTGCAGCGAGGATCGCCTTGGTCTTCAACAAGATCTCCTGAGCGCTTCGAGCGTTGGCCGCATCTTGGCCCTTTGCTCCAGCGAGGCCGCCTTTGGGGGAGGCAAAGATGGTTGTTTCCAATGGTTATTTCAAGTGATCATCTATGGAAAACCATGGTTATATATAGAACATTAGCAGGGTTTGGTACATGTCCCAGTTTTTTTTCACATCACAAAAACACGTATCTGTTGGAGATCCCCAATATTTGGGTGATATGAACATTTAGGACATTTACCAACCCCTGTTCAATGGATATATTTTAAGTGGCTATCTATGGAAAACCATGGTTATAGAAAATTAATGAAAATTATACATAAATTATAAGTATCTATGGTTAACTATGGATATCTACTCTTCAATGAAACGGTTTCCTATGGAAGAAACTGTGGAATATCTATGGGATATGGGATGGGTGTGGAATACTATAGTAAATGTATGGGAAAAAAACAATGGGATATCCATAGATATTGAATGGATATATCTTCTATAGTTTCTATGGGATATTTTGTCATCAATCCATGTTCATACGGATTTTGCTTGGATTCATGTCTCAACCAACATATATTGGTCAAACTGTGGATTATATATATATATGTATGCACGCACTTGTAACATGTATTTAGTATCTTCCCGCGTTCATATTAAACACGCCCAGAAACCATGGTTTAGGAGGGTATCTACACATATTTTAGACCATTTAGGTAGTGTTGAATATTTGAGATCCCTCATATCTCATCTATCCACCTTTGTTCGATGGTTAAGTTATGGTGCAAACCATCTACCCTCTGGTAAACGTTTACATAGCTTGGAAAATCACCATTTTTCATGGGTATTAAATCCACTATTTCTATGGTCATTTTCAGTAGCTATGTTGAATTACCAGAGGGTATGGACTATGGAACTGGGGAGCTTTGCGGAGGAGCTGCAACAGATGGATGTGGTGAACCTGGTGACGGCATGTCAGCGAATCGCCAAGCTACACCATGGCAGTCTCTTGGTGCTATAGGTGGCCTTTAAATAGTAGATGATTTATATACTGTTCTGAAAGAAATGGTGGTTAAATAATATAGCATCAGTCCTGGTTTCTTGGTCACGACTTTTGTTTATTTGACACAATTTAAATCAAATTAAGACTGTAATCTGGTTGGTGGTTTGGAATGTCATCATCCCAACTGACTTTCACTCCATCATTTTTCAGAGGTGGCTCAACCATCAGTAGTTGGTCCCATACTTTCCAGTCCCAGTTGGACCCATAGGACCTGGAACATCTGGGACATCCGTCGCCAAGGCAATGCCTTCCTCAAAGAAAATCCACGTTTCGAGTGGTTGCTGGGCAGTTCTCAGGTCTTCTGGTGATTCTTCGTCCATTCTTCGGCGATCTATTTGATTTTTGGAGTAGTATAGAAGTAAATCAACAAAAATAAAGAGAGTTCATTTACACGAATAATTATGATAATCAACTCCAATAATTATACATGGGTATGTATCAAGTATATGATGATTTTTGTATCATATACCCAGGGTTTATATTTTCTTTGGAGCGTAAGGAATAATTGTTGTTCTTGCAATATTTGGCCTTGCGATGATTAGCTGATCAACTGCCCGTTGATGAAAGGGGAAAGCTGTCGGCTCATCCAGCTCCTTTTTCCTGGAGCAACTATGCCAAGTATGCGCTTTATATTTCGGGGATCTTCCAACCAACCCTCCGGTGATTAAACGTGGCAAACGCCGCTGGGAAATCCCTGGAAATTTCATGGAGGTTTCTAGCTGGCTAGTCATGTTCAATCAATGGGTGTTCACTGCCATATGAAATCAGGGCTGCCACCAGATGGCTGACACTAGCTGCGATGGAAAATTATGATAGGCTGTTCGAGACTAGCTAGACTCGACTCCCAGAAAGGAATGGTAATGAAACCACGGATCCATCAAACATGCTTGGAAATCGGGAAATCACCACTTACCTTTTTGCGTTTGGTGAATCGGTTTATGTTTGCAGTAAACCCAGAAACAACCCCCACCTATAGGGTAAAGGGTTGAGCACAAATTCCGAATAAGTAGCATAATCCCTTCCATGAGTTGGGGACTGGAAGACTGCTGTCATCAGGGTCTATGTCAGTTGGGACGGTATCCATGAAAGCATCATCAAACATCCCATTATGATCATTTTTGCATCATTACCTCTACCTGGGCTATAGCCCATTGCTAGTAATGACTAGCCCTTTGCGGGTCTCCTGATGCCCAAAACATGTTATGCCTTTCCAAGGTTGATGGAGCAGACAGGAAAGAAGTTGTCAGACTTGAAACCACGGGGGATGGTTCCTTGGGTCCTTGGCCCGCTGGTGACCTGGTGATGAGAAATCCCCGATTTTAAAGGGAGGCTTTAATGAAAACATTAAATCTATAATTATTAGAACAATGATGGCACTTGACAAGACTTGATGGCTTCTCAATTCTATGTTGGGTTTTCCCATGTTTTCCCCATTTCGGAATCTTCAAAGTGAAATCCTGTGGTGGACTCATGGGTGACACGATGGGAACATTGACCCAGGAACTAAAGGGGGTCCCAACCTGGATGAATTGCATGGAATTGATCTTGGAGTGTGTCTGTGCACATGTGACATTTGTGACATTCAAAAACAGTTTGTACTTCAACAATATCTTTGGATGTTGGCCAGAGTAATGTCAACGATCCATGATCTGCCCCCAAATGCTTCGTTTTCTCAAAGCAAACATCGCATCAAACCCAGCAACATGAACGTGAGAACGAGCCCAAGAGATCTACAAACGAGCATCGACATGGGAGATTCAATTCGAAAATGGCCTTAAATCTGATTTCCACACATGGCCTGAATGTAGATCTCCTGGGTTGGACATGGTGACATTGAATTTTGTAATCTGTGGCCCATCAGACATTTGGCACTAAATGTGACAACACTGTAGCTCTGCAGCCTGGGTTTCCCCTTTGGTCATCACAGGTGCATGTCCTGTGGTCCTTAGTGAAGTTACAGCATTTTCCAGGCGGGATTCCAAAGCTACGACACAACGTAGGGGATGAGTTGGGACGAGTTGCAAAGTGTAACTGGTGATTTCAGTCAGCACAAAACGCATGCCATTTATGTGTAGTTGAAAACCACATGACCAACGCAATCAATGGGCGTGTATCTATGACCAACTCAAATCAAACCATATGTGTAGTTATATAAGTTTATGTTAAACTACAAAGAGATGGGTCTGTTCCCACTTGTTGAATTGGGCTTTCAGTACTCCGATTTCAAGGTTCCTCTGCTAGTCAAATGGGGTGGAATATTCCATTAAGATCCATTAAGTAACTTTTGCAGAGTTCACCCCAATCCAGACGTTTGCCCACAGAAACCCTCAAGCTTATTTTTACAAGGGAAAGCAGAAAATTGTGAATGGTTCATTTGGCCTGGGTCAAGTAGTGGTGGTGTTGCAGTCTTGAGAACAGTTTCTTCCAGACTTTTGCATTCTTTTGATGTTTGACATTTTGCTTAGTTTAGCAGCGAGAGAAAACAAGGGAACACGGAAAACATAATTTCCTTCAGAGTACAAGCGGTGTTTAGAGTGCCAACACGGGATATGGAGTCGGGCCAAGTGTGGTAGATGGGGCCCACAAATCGATTTGGGACCCACAACACTATGCCCATCATTTCGTGGTGAAATCCCACCCTGGGGTTGGTTACATCATTGCATGGTGATGCATGGTGCACCCTAGTTGTGTTAGTCTGCTTGTGACCCCATCTAACTATGATTATTTCATCACCATATGAACCCAGATGTGACAAAAAATCGTGAACAAAACCAGCTTTAGCCAAACAGAAACAAGGTCCATGAAATTCTTGGTGATACCCCGAATGTTTAATGGGTATATACTTCTCAGCTGTGGGCACCCCAATCTGCCGGGAGGCTGGTTCCACCAGCTCTTGGATCTCTGTCAGAGCAACCTGAGCTCCTTCACCGGACGCGACTTGAGCGTCCCGGATTTGGCGGCCGCTGCGGGCAAAACTTGGGTGTTGTTTGTGATCGTTATAGAATTGAATCATATTCAGGGATGGTAAGTGAGATTTATATGCTCGATATTGTATATTAAAAATATTAGGAAGCGGTACGACGCCATAATGTCAGCCCGTCTTCCGGTGATTCAATCAACCTCATGCCTTTGCGAATATGACCCGGTGCAACCTGGTGCAGTGATCTTGCCGGACTGTGCCGAAAGATATCTCCCTGATGGCAGCACTGCCGGCCATATCCAGACACTGCCGTGGCCAGTACGTATCATCACAGTGGCATCCTCGACAGTGAAAGCAGTGAAGGGAGTGAAGGCAGTGCAGCGACCATGGCCACTGCCGCTATGGTGGCCATGGCCATGACGATGGAGTGGGCTGATGTAGGTTGAGCCATTGAAAATACCCTACCTTGTTTGTTGGGGATTATGAACTAACCATAACTAACCCATAGAATGAACGGCATAGCATAGCTATGTACCAAGCAGTATTTTATGGGTTGGGACGGTGAAAAATGACATTTTCATGGTTCATGTGGCTCATGTGAAAAGATGACATAGTCGTCTCAGTTGGTGCGCCTGAGCATGCCTCAGCATGTTGAGTCACGCCATGGAACTTCGCAGTTCAATGGGATGGCACCGACAGAATACAGAATTGCAACCTGCAGGCATCTGCGAAAATGTACGAAAATGTGAACATTGCCAGGGATGGGTTGGCATTGGAAATGCTAGGTCCTTGTGGCATTTGGGTGGTGACTTTTTGGTTACATGGCTGGAAAACCCGCTATGTATATATGATGTTCCCATATGTTCCCATCAAAAGCTCCATGGATGTTACGGGAAATTCCGGGAAATCCCAGGTAACTTTCCATGTTTGATTGCCACTGACCCCTGGACACCAACACCTCTGTCAACTCATTGTTTTGGCTAGTTGATTTCTATGTTCATTAGCCATTTTGGGATCCTCATCGAGGCTTCAGAGGCTTCGTTCAGTACGCAACCCCTGCTATGGACGGGTTCTTAAGTTCCCCAAGACTGGATTCACCATTTTGCTTGCTTGCATCCCCTTCTTTTGTTGATTGAATCATATTGAATACTCCCTATTGTTGCTGGATGCTGCTGGTTTCACAGTATTGTGGGAAAATCTGCAGGAAAGCCTCTACATTCAAGCAACTGTAGATTTAAGCATGATTTTACCTCAAACCAGTCCATTGATGCCTAAATCCATAAATTTATGTTGCTTTAGATTAGACATACGTAGTCTCATTAGTCTCCAACCAATAGCAGTGACCTTCCCTGAACTATCATCTCTTCAAAGTAGTAAGGCTTTGCTATCATTCTTTACTACCCACTGTTGGTGGAGGTCATTAGATCATGCAAATCCCCATTTTCGCTGGCTAAGTCCCTGTTAATTCTTGTTGCTTGAACCCCTGCTTGTTGGCAAAATCTGTTAACTCCACATTTTTTGAACCTCAATTTGTGCTGCTTAAATCAGAGTTTGAACCTCATATACCCTTGAAATCCGGATTTAACGTATTTATGGAAAGTCACCGTTTGTAATAAGTAAATCATCATGTTTATCATCCATCAATGGATCATATTCATTCATTTTCCATAGCAAACTGTTTTTAACAAGAAGATACATCCCCGTAGGATGTATCTTCTTGTTATCCCAGTGAAAATCCCATGGAAATCTGGGTAAATCTCCAGTTTTGGTTGTTGATCAGTTGGTGCCAGCGCACCCAGGTGTAGTCCTTGGCGCCTTAGCCAAGTGCAGAGCCGATCCAAAACTCAAGGATGAGAACCGTGAACACTTCGTAACGTCGTGACCGGGAGCAACTGAGCCATTCAACAGGTGAATTCAGGTGAATTTAGTGAATTCAGAAGGGTTTCATGGGGTCTTCGTGGGATTTGAAATCAGATTTTAATCGGATTTTAATGGGATTTGCAATTCGATTGAACCGCCAATCATTAACGGGTTTGACCTATACAGAAGTGGAATTGGTATTTAATATGGGGATCTGTAGAGGAAAGCCGTTGGTTTTGGTATACCCCAAGTTTGAGAAAAAAAGCTACTTTGATGTAATATGATCTGTGGCTATGGATGAAAACCATGTTTTTGTTCACATCAAAATAGCTGGGATAACTGGATGTCCATCCGAGGTTTTGACTCACTCCGAGGGACTTCAGCAACAAAAAATCATGATATTGAATGTTTCAGCAAAAAAGATATAGGGGTTTCATCAGCAAAAATATGGGATTCAGCCCGTCAGAACGCGACCAGACTGAGTTTTTTCAGTGATGAGAACATTGATTTAGCCAATGAACACATGGATACAAGCAACGCACATGGAGATGCTCCACGGCCAACAGGAGATCGCGGTGGCCGAGTTGAAGATGCGGCTGCCCAAACTGCAAAGCCCCACGGAAACTGTGATGAGTTATATGTCTTTTTCATGGGATAGAGGACGGTGCATAATATGGTTATCATATGGTGAATATATGATTCATATCTGAAAATATATGGTCAACATATGGTTTAACTGAGGATAATGATGATGATGGTGATGATGATGATGATGATGATGATGATGGTGATGGCGATGATGATGATGATGATTATGATGTTGATGATGATGATGATAATGATGATGATGATGATGATGATGATACACCATTATTTTTTGCGGTAATTATCCAATTTTCAGACCAACAAATAAGTAGATGAGCCGTCAGCTGCTTGTGGAACACCAGCAATTGCGTGAAAATTGAATCAGCAATCCAATAATTATCCATATTAGTCATGATAATCTTACATATATACATATATATATATATATACGTATATATATATATATAACGTTTTATAACCCATATAAATACACATGTACTTTGTAATCCATAATAATCCATATTAATCCGTTGTTTTTTTCGTTCCAGCCGGGTGGCTTCGTGGCTGCCCTTTCTTCCAAAAAGGACATCGCCTGTGTGGCGGCTGCCCTGTGTCGCTTGTGCCTTGCTTCAGCCAGCTGTGTTTGATTCCACCGTGGAACCGCCGTTCAGCCGAACCATGGCATTATACCCAGATATACCCAGATCATTGATATATATATATATATTTATATTATATATATTATATATATATATATATACACCCTCTTGTTATTTAACATAGCCATTGTATAGATGGCCCATAGAAATAGATGGTTTACCATGGTTTACCGTTCTCAAAAATGGTGATTTTCCATGGCTATGTTAAATAACCAGATGGTACATGGCATTTACTGGTGATATTTTGATATATATATATATATATAATTTACCCTCCAAATGTCAGATATCTCAGCTATGTTCATGGGAAAATCGGAAGGTTTTTATCCCCAATTTTGTGAAACTGAAGTTTCAAAGACGAGCTGGGAAATTGATCTATAAAAGTATAAATCGGTGATTTTTTCAAGTTATACTATGATGTTTATGGTTATATGACACACCAACATGCAGATCTAATAATAAAACTCTTCGGTAGGGGGAATGGATCATTTCCTTTCTATACCAAGTAATTTGGGTTTCCAGGAAGTGAGTTTCCTATAGAAGGGAACGATCATCATTGGTCATCCCCCATGTTCATACGAGTGAATATACCAAATTCATAAAAGTAAAGTCCCAAATTCATGATGCTGGACTATGACAGACAAACATGGTTTTGCATCAAGCAATAAAATTGTGGAATGTTACCCTCTGATAATTTAACATAGCTATTGAAAATGGCCATTTATAGTGAGTTTTCCCATAAAAAAATGTGATTTTCCATAGCTATGTTAGTTTACCAGAGGGTAACCAACCCAAGTTGGGATGCCATCTCGCATGGGGATTCAACCAATCAATAGGGGGTGCAGGTTTGCACCCCGAGCCAAGCTTCTTGACAGTTGTGGCCTGGAAAATTAGTGGAGAATCATCACCATTTTTTTAGGAAAAACCTGGAAAAACATGTGCAAAGTATTGCAAAGTCACTTTTTGAATTGCCGCTTGGAATATGGAGGCTACTGAGACTCCAGATTTGTTTTCTGAATGTTTCTCCAGATACACAACTAATGATCCTGCAAACTAGTGGTTGGAAAACAACTTCCCAGACAAAAAAAGGCGATTCTGTATCCTCCAGGTCGAGACGAAGCCAAATATCACATGGCACAGATTACATACTTACTATGACTATCATCTGGTTATGACTAACATAGCCATGGAAAATCTCTCATAAATGGAGGTTTTAATGGGTAAATCATCTATAAATGGGATTACATACTTCTAGGTAAATTTCATCACGACCTCACTGTTCGACCAAACCCTGGAAATCATAGTTAGGATTGGGGAATCATCCCCTTTTATGGCCACAAGATTCAGGTTGGTGAAATATTGTCATTTACCCAGATACTTACTATCACTATAAGCCAATAGCTATTTCCGAAAGCATCCCAGTAATATCCCGCTATAACCCAATGTCGATTATATAATTATATCCCTATGATGGTTTTAAATTAGTGGCTGATGATATCCCAGGTTGTACCATGGTGTGGGTAATTTAAGGCACCACATGTGATGGCTGATCATCATCATCATCATAATCATCATCATCATCATCACCATCATCATCATCACCACCATCATCATCACCATCATCATCATCATCTCATGATTCTTACAATGTTGACTAATGTTGTTGACTATAGTATTTTATAGAACAATGATTCAAAAATAATCTCTACAGCAAATGGTATTTTATATGGAGGTATTATGGAGGTATATATTCCATTATCCCATTTTCAAACACACCCGCTTACTCCGGTCGTTCTGCCACAAGGCAGCAGAGAGATGAATTGATTTTCGCCACCCTGGCGGCCAATGCGCAGAAGAATCTCTCGGACTTTGGTAGCTTGTCGGTGACCAGAGATTTCTGGCCATTTGGGGGCTATTGTATATAATCCCAACACAATGTGGGGAGCGTTCAGCTATTTAGGAGAGTTTACCTCCACAATTGAAATTGAATCTACCGATGAGTGACCTTCTGCAACTGCCTTGGTCAATAAACCGCTCCAAAGAAAACTTGACAAAGCACTCAAGGAAGGGTACCGGCCCCAGGATGCCAGCAGAAACGCTTCGGAAGGATCCATAACCAGAATCAGCTGAGAAAACCAAGCCATCCCTTAGTCACTGGTGGGCTAAACATCATGTAAAAGTGGATTAGTCGGCCAGGGTCACCATTGAATTCCGTTTTTATGTGTTAAATCCCTTCTGTGTGGCTATAATTTGCGTACTCAGCTATAGATAGATGGATAGATAGATAAATTGATAGGTATAGATAGGTAGTACTAGCTCAAAGTAGTTCGATAAAGATACAAATGAATATATAAGATGGTCGTAAATTCTTGTATCACATACCATGATTCACCAACGTTACTCGGGTAGTTTTGTTTTTGTTATATATATATATGGGGTCAAGCATGGTTAACCACATGTGTCATTGCAACAATTGGGATTGTTTGGGCTACCTCATGTTTTATTGGATATTGGATTAAACAAAATCAAATACATCTTGTTATTTCAACCCCATATATCCCCATACATTGTTTTCCAACATGTTGCGACAGCCAGGGATGTCTGACCTACTGTCGGTGCTGTGGGCCTTTGCCACCATGAATCTGACCCATAGCGAGTCCTGGAAGTGAAGGTGAGCGACCGAAAGCCGATTGGTGAGCCACTCACGAAAAATGTACAGAATTCCAGGGTACCCTAGGGTTCTTATTTCAATTAGCTGACAGAAAGGGTTGAATCGAGCAATCCAGCCCCTGAAGTTCTCGTTGTAGTACGTTCTTAACTTAAACAGTGGTTTCACTGTACCCTAGAAACATACAGATGTGGATAAGCCATGGCCATGGGGTGTCCCCCCGATAAATTATGATTACATGTGGAATTTGATGGAATCTGCACTAGTGATGTTAGTCTACAGGAGGGTAATCAGCATTTCTAGAACTGTTAAGCATGAAACATGGGGATATATCATTGTCAAATGATGGTTTGTTAATGTTGGTAGATGATTATTGAGGGTTGTTACTTTTCTATATTGGGAATTATCATCCTCCATACTCAATTGTGAGATTGTGTGCTACCCAACCAGTATAAAGGGGTGACAGACGGACAAAATGGCACCCTGCGACGGGACAGACGGCTTTCAAAGTCCAATAGGGGTCGGCAAACTGTCAGGAACTACCCTTGGTTTAACATGCAGAAAGATGTGGAAAACCCATGGTTTCTCTAGGAAGCTGATCGACACATTGTGTCTTTTCCACATCATCACATCTATGTTAGTTTGCAGGATGGTATATCCCATTGTCATCCCATTATTCACCATTAATAACCCATTGTTAAACCATTCAATCACCATTAAATGAGCTGAAGATCTTTGAATTGAACTACAGTACGCTCAGAACACATCACAACCTATAGTGGGAAACATTCCTTGGATGCACTCGGCATGGACCACCTGAGTTTCGTCATGTGTCAGTGTATACATATTGTAGATGTGTTTCAATATATGTTGTGTATAGTATACATTAATATTATATATATATACATACTGATGTATATCTAGACGTACATATATATGTGTGTGTGTGTGCACAATCACGCACATGAATATAATATGTATGTATATATATATATACACATGATTATATGCATATTTATATACATACATACATGTAAAATAAAACGTTTTATACCAATTTCGCAACACCTACCCCTTCTTGATGCCTGACTATATGGAAGTATCATTTGCATTCATTTGCTGTTTTTCTTCGTTTTTCATCCAAGGATCTCTTCGCGGAAGTTCGTGGAGTTCTACATCATGAAGCTGAAAATTGTTCTCCGAAGGAACTGACACAAATCACGTGGGCCACTCGGACCAGCAGACAGCGCGAAAAATGGCACTGACTGAGTGTGGCGGAAGCAAAGATGTCCAGAAAGACGGTGCATCTTTGTTGTTAATAGTTGTTAATAATAATCATTGTTTTATTGTGTTTATGTTACTGCCATAGCTGACTATGTTTTACCATTATCACTATCATTCACTTACACGTGCTGTTATTCTTGGATCATGAACTATACCCTCTGGTAAACTAACATAGCCATGGAAAATCACTATTCTAGCAAAATCTTACCCATATTCCAAGGCTGTTCATATTCCATGCCAAACTAGCTCCGGAAAATTTGGAAAATAACGAACGACCTTTGATGGTGAGAATGAGGTTGTGTGACCCTTGTCAGGCGCACCTTTTCCCTTGTCACGTCCTGTCATGTCCAATCGCACATGTTTAACCCCGTTAAGATCCTTTGAGTCCACAGCTTCTCAAGCAATGATTTCTTGAATAAACATAAAGTCTTGTTTCTCTCATCAATCACCAACATCTCTCTAGGATCTTTTGAGACCATTGGATAAGCTGTTCAGCTTATTTTTTGATGCGTTTGGCTGGCGATTCAGCTTCCGCATCCGTAAACTGGGCCAAGTCTGGATTACGCTGTGCTTCCTCGAAATCCCCAGAGAGAAGGATTCGGGGCCACAATTCCCCAAATTCAACAGAGCGGATGCTGGTAGTTGTACTGTAATTTAACAGGATTTCAGCCCATTCAACAAACAAGTCATACAATATTTTGAAACCCTCTCCTTCTTCGGTCTTCAAAATGGGAAGCTCACTTATCAGGGCACACTTTAGCTCATCCAGGCTCCATAGCATTTCAGGAACAACACAACGCATTGACATGGTGCCAAACAATTTCCAAATTGAGCTGAAAAGTCTTCCCACCGCAACCCAGTCAATTCACAGGCGTGAAGCATGTCACACACAGGGAAACAGGTTGGGAAAACAATGGGTCCAAAGAGACAGGTCTGGAGTACGATTGATTCATGGTATATGTAATTTTTCTGAATTTGGGTAACTTGGAGCTAGAACTATAGGAAAATCACCGCACTAAATGGTCCATTTTCCATAGCAACCTGTTAGTTTACTGGAGGGTATATCCCATTATCATCCCATTATTCACCATTGTTAACCCATTGTTAACCCATTAAATCACCATTAAGTCACCATTAAATCACCATTAAATCACCATTTATAGTGGTTTGGCATCAACTGCTTCGTCGCATGGCCACGGACGCCGTTTTAAGCGTTTTTTGCGCTCGCGCGTCGCCACCGCGAGGCCCTGTCGCGTCTGAAAGAGGCCGACGAGGACTTGTTGTGCAACGTGATTGCTCCGGTGCCTTGAAGCCGGAGCTGGGTGCGGGGGCACATCACCGGGCGGGGTGGCCTCGAGCAACAAAAAGGCGGCGACTGGATGAACGGTTGATTCACATGGTATGTGCATATTATATATATACATAATATAACGAATTTTCAAAATACTCATTGGATCTTTTGATTTCTTTGAATGTGTTTGACATGTAGGGATGTAATGACATGGCCAGGATATAGCTATAAGATCTCATCAACCAAAGAAGTTCAATTGGTTTTCCAAGGTCAACGATGTCATATGAAGATTCTGCGAATGGATGATTCGAGCAGAGATGTCGTAAGTCTACATATTCTGTAGACTTACCGTTCATTCACATCCAATAAATATTATATATATATATATATATATTTACAGTATATATACCTAGATCATCATGCAGGCAGTAATATCTGGCTGAATGCATTCAGGCAGGAAACCTGCCCGAGATGATACAGCTATATATATATACCCTCTGGTTATGACTAACATAGCCATGGTATAGATGGCCCATAAAAATAGATGGTTTACCTATTAAAAATGGGGATGTCATATTCCATACCACATTCCGGGACCACCGAATAGACGGCCCCAGGTGGTGCGATCCAAGTTGATGGACTTCGAGGTGCCCCGGGATTTGTGCCTCTCGTCGAACGATAGCTGCTATGTGAACAGAATGACGGGATGAAGCAGATTTGTTCATGGATGTTACTGGAAATTTATGGAAATTTATGGAAATGTTCATGGATGTTACTGGAAATTTATGGAAATTTATGGAAATGTTCATGGATGTTACTGGAAATTTATGGAAATTTATGGAAATGTTCATGGATGTTACTGGAAATTTATGGTTTTTTTTCATGGATGTTACTGGAAATGTATGCAAATTTATGGATTGTTTCACGGATGCTACTGGCAATTTATGTTTTTTTTCATGGATGTTATTGGAAATTTATGGAAATTTATGTTTTTTTTCTAAAACAAAATGATGTTACTGGAAATTTATGGATTGTTTTTTAATGGATGTTCCTGGAAATTTATGGATTGTTTTTTTGCTGGATGTTACCGGATATTTATGGATTTGTTCATGGATGTTGCTGGAATTTTATGGTTTTTTATTTATTGGATGTTGCTGGAAGTTTATGGATTGTTTCATGTATGCTACTGGAAATTTATGGATTTTTATTTAATTGATGTTACTGGAAATTTATGGATTTGTTCATGGATCTTACTGTAATTTTATGGATTTGTTCATGGATCTTACTGTAATTCTATGGATTTTTCAAGGATGTTGCTGGAAATTTATGGATTTGTTTAATGGATGTTATTGGAAATGTATGGATGTTTTTATATAAATGAATGTTACTGGATTTTTTGGATTTGTTCATGGATTTTACTGGAAATTTATGTTTGTTTCATGGATGTTACTGGAAATTTATGGAATTGTTTATGGATGTTACTGGGCATTTATAGATTGTTTCGTGGATGTTAGTGTTTTTTTTTTTAAATGGATATTACTGGGCATTTTTTTTGATTTGTTGTTTCTAAGGATGTTACTGGAAATTTATTGATTTTTATTCAATGGATGTTACTGGAATTTTATGCGTCTTTTTTTCAAATGGATGTCTTGAATTTTATGGATTTTTATTTAGTGGGTGTTACTGGAAATTTATTTTTATTTCTTAATGGATGTTACTGGAAATTTATTGATTTTTATTTAATGGATGTTACTGGAAATTTATGGATTTGTTTATGGATGTTGCTGGAATTTTATGGATTTTTTACATGGATGTTGCTGGAATATGGAAATGTTTATGGATGTTACTGGCAATTTTTGGAAATTTACTTTCAAAAGTCTACCTTGTAGGATGATATGGATGTTACGAATGAATTTACTCTCAAAAGGTGCACCTTGTATCATCTTGTATCGCTGTCTCACCCACGAAAATTCGGATGCAGTGCTGCTATTTGATTGAAACCAGGTGATTCAAAAAGAATCTGATATGCTGTGCAGTAATTGCTGGGAAGAAGTAACTAACTGAAAAGCAGGACATGAAGAATTCAGACCAGGATGGTGAAACAATGTACTGCATGTAAACAGTAAAAAGAGAATAAGTTGCCGTTGAATAATTCACTGAGAGGTTGAAGCTCTCAATGTCCGATGAAGGCTCAGATGTCAATCCCCCCAGCAAGTTTAATTGGACAACAAATATTGGGCAAGTGTCTAAAAAGAAAATCAGTTTTCGGATGATTTTCCAGGCCTTCTTTTTTAATTAATTAGTTGGTGTCTCCGATTCAGGCCTTCACTCCGTTCTTTTGCATGACCTTTGTTGGCAGAGCACAGGTTTTTACAGACTGGGGATGTGGCTCCGCCACGCCGCTGCTGAGGCACACTTGCCTTTGCGTATAGCAATGCGAAAGTCATGGACGAAGGTCTCTTCTCAGTCACTCGCCTTACCCTCGGCTGAACATGCAAAAAGATGTGGAAAACAAATGGTTCCCCAAGGAAACTGATTTGCCAATGCTGGGTTTTCTACCTGGGTTTCTGAAAATGTACAGGAAAATCCTTTGAGACACTGGTGAATCATCATTTTCTGAATTGTACCAGCCACTACGCACAAGTTTGTGAGATCATGTGGGTGTGAGAAAAAGTCAGCACCCCAAAACGACAATCCTCCACGGCCAAAAAATAAGATAATATAAGGGGATCACTTGGGATGTAAACAGCAATGAAACTGGGATTTTGAATAGCCGATCTTGCAACATGCTGAGGACGTGCGTATAAGTATACCTTAGCCTTAGCCATAGGGGAACTGGTTGAATCCAGGTTGAAATGACGCAGACATGGGCCATGGGTCTGCCCTGGAGATGGGCTTGGTCTCAAGGAGTTCAAGACACATTGTCAGAAAGTCATGGTTGAGAGGGTCACCGGCTATCTGGAGCCAAGGACTTGGCGCATGTTCTATCTTCCAAAGTGAGGCTTATGAGCCTTCGGCATTCCAAACGTGTTGTGTGGATCTTACAAAAAAAGCCTGGCGAGTCCAAAGAAAATTGGCAACAGGGGCGAACCAGAGATCTGAAATACTTCATCTTACTTGGGGCCCATGGGGGTTCATAAAATGAGGGTACCCCAAAATTCATCATTTTTGGGGATTTCCCAGTAATTATAAACCATCCATTTTGGGGTACCCCCATCTGTGGAAACACCCATATAACAAAGTTTAAATATCGTGAGTTCCATAGCTATGTTAAATTACCAGAGGGTAATTAGCTCATATTTTGTACTGCATCATTCTTGGTATCTTATTTTGGTCCAACAAACCAAGCAATCATTTTGCAAGAATTACTCTGACACAATTGTAGAAAAGGGCATGAGTAGAGTTATATACATCTGAATGCCCGGGAGCACTTCTTGTCTCAGGTCGTTGATGATTCGGGTTTGAGCCAAAACAGGGTACGCGCCACTTAAAGCGTGATAGCAGCTTTTCAAAATGACCTGACCACGTGCCGTTCTGTAGACTTTTTGTCATTTTTTGAGGCTTAGCCATGCAGGAAACAAAGTCTGGAGCACAGTCAACCTGCCAGATACACCATGACTTGACCGTCATGCCCTGTGTCGACAGATGTCGACAGCCAGGAACGCTCATGACATCTCCAGTGTGGTGGCAGCCTTTTCCACCATCGAATATGCCCACAAGAGTTTGTTCAAAGCGCTGCAGAGGCGGCCGGATGACCAGCAGTTTGATCCAATCCCAAACGGCCCAAACGCCATTTGGACATCATGTTTCGAGGCATCCTGATACATTTGTTTAGTCTCGTCAGGGAATATGTTGTTCATAGTCGTGTTCTTTCATATTCAGAACAACATCCAATCTTAATTCCTCCTGAAAGCTGGGTCATTATCTGACGAACGACATCCATTCTGCTTGAAGTACCAATGACTTTGACCGGACAAATCGTGCAAAAACCACCGACGTGTTTCCAACGTGTCAGTTGAGAATGCTGTGTCGCCGAAATACCTCTGAGTTAGTTGACAATGCCAAACGTGGTTGTTGACTTCTACTGCTAATAAGAAATCACTTGGTGTTTGACTATGAGTCTTCGATTTGTTGGGTGATTGTGGCACTCTTGTTGATTTTTCAAAAAATGTAATATGGGTCGGAGATAGGCCAGTTACTAACCATCCATTCCAGCAGGATGTCTATTGTTCCAATGGCACTCACTGGGGCACCACTAGGCTTGGTCCAATTAGTCTTTTTTCTCATACTGTTGATGGTTAGATCATTAGTTTCTATATTGTGTGTTAGTGTTTTCTAGTTTTTGATGGCTCGACCACTACTTCCATATTCCTAATATTTCCATATTCCCACTTTATAGTGGTATAACCCATGATATGTCCATTCTATCCCAAAAAAATCTGGGGCAGCGGGTTTTTTTTAGCATTTTACATTTTCGACATTCTTCAACCCTAGAAATGGGATGATCATACCAACTCACCCTCACGCAGATTTGTCAGGGGGATGTGATCCCTGGAAACCCTGATTTAGTAGAGGAAGGGGCCCCCAAGCGATATAATTAAGTTGGTTCATAACCCAAACGATCCATACATAATATATATATATGGTGTATATTATATATAACTATATCTATATCTAATATCTATATCTATATCTAATATCTATATCTATATCTAATATCTATCTATATATATATATATATTTATATCGATCTATATATCTATATCCATGATCAATCCTAGTTCTCCAAGTTATAAACCAACTTTCACCGACATTCTTTGGATTTCTACCACCACTTCCAGGCAAACCAAGGCGACCTTGAAGAGCTTCTCGCCCTTGCAGCTAGCGCGCAGCATCCACGGCTTCGGCATTGCCGGCGTGGAGGATCCCTCGTTGTACAGGCAGCTCTGCAACGTGCCACGGCCGCGAGGTGATCCCCATGATTGGATGGTTTTCATGGATAATCCCAAAGAAAAATGGATGAGAACTACTGATAACTGGCTAGGGCCCTATGACTTAGGAAACCTCCATTTAGATTGGGTTGAAGTGACCAAAAATTCGGGATTTCACCAGGAAAACCATCATTGAAGCAGCAACAAGAGGGATTTCAACCGCAAACATGTGATTTAACGAAGAAAGATATGGGATTTGTTATCTGCAAACGACATGGGCACGAACGGAACCAAATGACGGGGATTCAAGCGATTCAGGAACCAAACTGATGTGGACTGTGCGAAATTGTTGTTGGTAGATGTGCAAAGATAAGTGAGTCGAATACGGAACATTGTAACCATGGTCACAAATAAGTTGGGGCTCATGTGGTTTTACGAAGTTGCAACATTGTGATAGATTCTAGAGAAATTAGAACAAAATGACCTCGATCTGATTTCCGGCGCCACAGCGATGCCAAAGTGCGCAGAATCACGAAAACCTTATCCGATATACAAAGGATGATGGCTCGAATGGCTCAAGCTTATCTACTGATGTTAATCCCAAACTCGATTGTGGTTTCCTGAGATGCAGGTGGTCATATGGACCAGTTGTTTTCCTTTGGGGGCTAAACCTTTGGCTGGCTGGTCAAGCCACTTGCAATCGACTGAGGAAGTCATGAAGAAACGGAAAGATCTACACGCAAAGAACATCGTGGACGGGAATGACTGGGGTAGGTTCCTGCGTACCCAGCGACAATCTGCAGACGAAGTCCTCAAATTACAGCAGAGCTTGCAGTGTGACATGGAATTCCAGGGCCGTCATCAATGCCTAAAGTCTTCATGTTCATATATGTTTATCTTCTCAGCAGTAATTGGTTTCAGTATTGGTTTCAGTATCATTTCCAGTATTGGTTTCAGTGACATTTTCACAGCAAACCCTTTTGATATTTTTTGGGGTACATCAATCCATTGTAGCTTCGCAGGAGATCTTAATTGGTTTGGCGGAAGCGGAGTTCGTTCCAGAGAGTGCTATGACTCACGGCTTAGATTGTCGCTGAGCTCCCCATGTTGTGCTGCTTGAGGATCCCCCTTAAACTTATCATCTCCGAAAGTGGATCTAGATCCTACAAAGATGCACAAAAAATGAATACACGATATATTTTAAAGAAAAATGATCATCATGCTTTTGCTCCACAAAGGTACCTAGAAATGTACCCAGCTTTCACACATCAACGTTTCGTTTCGGGCAGTGCCCAGGACACTGCTTCAGGATGTTGACGTGGCCCAATGGTTGGATGCCAATGATTGCATCCAGGCCCTTCACGCCCTGGCACGCTTGCCGCAGTGCTCTGGTTGGTGGCTGGTGGCTATGACCCTGCTTACTGGGTAAATCATGGTAAATCCACCTAGCGAAGTGGAAAAATGATACCCTCTGGCAACCTAACATGGCGAAGTGGAAATCACGATTGTTAATAGGTAAATCAACTATAGATATCTATCAATGGCAATTGTCAATAGCTGCTATTAGCTATGTTAAATTTACAGAGAGTGTCTATCTATTCTAAAATATAATATAAATTTGTTACTTGTAGATATGGATAAAGAATGTATGTCTCCGTCCCTAGGATCAAGATCTCCAATTGACTAACCAGCGAAGCCACCAGAAACTGTGGGCTGCGCCATCGATTTGAAGTCTCATCACCAATCAATGAATCCGATATCAGCCAACCTGCAAAACCAATTCACAAGAGTCTTAAGAGGTTAAACTCTTCCTGTTTCTTTGGGCTTTAGCTCCTACTTGGTTTGATTAAAACTATTTTATGGATTTGTTCAATATCTTTCGTGCTCAAGATCCCGCTGTAACACCCATGGCATGGCTTGCGGAAATCCAGAACCTTCTCAGGTGTCGCGTTACGCCACTAAGGTTGGAGTCGAAAGCATTCCGGGGCGAAGTGCTGAAAGTGATCAGCCACTTGCAAGATTGGGGGCGATGACTCCTGTTGGCAGCGGTATATAATTGGTATATATACTGTACGTATATATATATATATATCAATGACTGAATATATATATATATATATATATTTATATTTATATTTATCATATTATAGTATACTGTACTTTGTTATTTATCTGCTCGCAATGGCCTACAATGCTTTACGTATTTGTGATTGCAAGCTTCAATCCAGACATCCAGAAAATATTTGTGACACCCAGCATGTTTAGTAGTTTCACTGTTTCACTATGTATCCCATTGTTAAAAAATGGTGAAACGGGATGCTGTAGGTACCAATTCATGAGGCCTGAGACAAAAAACAGTCCCATGCAGGACATTCCCTCAAAAAGACGTTGGGTTTTTACCTCGGTTGGGTATGTTAAGATACTTTCATATATTTGCCTAATATATGGGGTGAATAGAACGCCTTGCATTTTTTGCTGGGTATCTTAGATTGGCAATTTTCCATAGACCTTTTCACATAATTTCGATACCTCTAAGTTGGACACTGGACACCCTCGAACTCCGAAACTCCAGATGTGTTGCCCGTCCCGTTGCGGGACAGTACCTGAGAGCTTATCCCAAGGCTTCTACGCTGTTTCCAACGTATCAACCTGTTGGGTCTTACATTTAATCATTTTAATCTACCGGCAACTTATGTGAAGCAGACGACTGTCAAGCTATCCTCTGAGAATTTAACAGAACTGTGGAAAAAAAACATCCTTTTTTATAGACATTATCGAACTTAATGAGCCATGTTCTCCAGTTCGCAAACTGTTAGTCATTACCAGAGGCTATCTCTCGAGATTCGTCCTCTCCATTGCAGCCAGGAAAGAAGTCACAAGGCTGGTGGCGCTTGGAGATCAATGACATGGCAGACCTGATGGAAGCCATGGTGTCTTTGAAGATCGAAGATGCTTGGAACTAGTAAAAATGCACCCACGGAACTGAAAGACATACTTAAAATATCTTGAAACGTCTTGGAATGAGTAGACAGCTTGAAGTCCAAACCATTTGCGCTTAAACATGGGTCCAGTTAAAAAATGCTTTGGCATGCCATTTTGCAGGTCTTTGTTTCCATGTTTTCGGTGTGGTCTAAGACTATGAAAAACGGTGGTTCAATCCAGCGTTGTTTTTGACCAGGGGCTGTTTTGCTCCCATCCTTTGAGGCTGCAGGTAGGTATTGGAACCGGTTCTTTGATCTGATATTGTCAATGGGAATTCCCTTACATAGGCCTAAAAAATAGGCCTTATATATGGTAGCTACCTCCAATTTAGGATCCTGGAATGGCCATTGATATTGTTCTCTTTTGATGCTTCGGAATTTCGATATACCTGGGGCAGCGACTCAGACAATCGGACTTAGAACGGTCAAACGTTTGAGACTGAGTTGTGGATACTTGTCAAGAATCAAGGCCTGAGTTGTGGACCACCAGTGAAATCGCCATGTTTTTTGGGGCTGCAGATGATTTGTTCTGAGGCATCAACTTGCTGGGTATATCCCCATGCCCGCCTATCTTTGGATCAAAACCCTTCAAAATCATATTTGGAGGGATGAACATCCATAACATGTCATAACTAACACCTACTCTCAGACCATTTCTGACTCATAATCCAAAGCTATCATAGCCACCATAGCCATCATATCCATCATAGCCATCATAGCCATCTAAGGATACCATCCTCTTGAAGCTCTCCCTGGGTCAGCTGCCACGTCTCCTCTCCAAACGCTCCAGCGCCGGAGCCTTCCTGCGGCTGTGGGGTGCCCTGTCAGAGCTGCCGCCGCCCGGGCGGCAGAGGATCATGGAGGAGCTGCATCGCAACATGCGTAGCTCGGATTCGGATGCCATGAGGTCCCCCAAAAATGGCATGGCTGTCAAAATCCAAGACAGTGTTGTTTAATGTGGTGCGTGTGTGTATATGATATATATTAAAATTTAATATTATATTATATACTATAATATAATATTATATTATATTAAATAATATAATATAATATAATACAATATAATATTCTATAATACAACATAATATAATATAATATAATATAATATAACATAATATGATATGATATAATATAATATAACATAACATAATATAATATAATACAATTCTAATATGCATGTCTTTCAGACACCACTATTGAAGGTATAAAGTGGTGCACCACCTTGTACCCAAGTTTGACTCTTTGCTGGCTCAAATTGAAGTAGGGGGAGAATGCTACAAACCTAGGTCCCTCTAAGAGACCCTTGCATCCACAGAAGTCACGGCCAAAGCTGACCATGGTGGCGAATTCTTGTAGTCCCAACTTTAGGCAAAAGCACCAGAAGGCATATCTTGAGGTTTTGACAGCCAATCCAAGTCCATTACAGCCTCTCCAAAGCTTGAAATCCGAAGTGAATGGGCAGAAGTCCATCATTCCATGCATTTCTTGGGCTGATGATGCTGTGAAGAAAAACGGGGGTTTGTCGCATCTTGTTGCTTTGAAATCAGCGCCCAGCAACCATCTGATTAGATTCAGGCTTGCGGAAAGCGGTGGAAGCGAACATTCAACAAGCCGTGTCGGGGATTCGCAGATTGATGCTCGATAGCATCCTCGAAATGAATCAATATTTTCTTTGGATCACTTTTATTCACTTTTCAGATGCTGGAACCAAAGAGAAACAATGAAGAAAACAGTATAAAACAGTCAGGTATGGGTGTATCTGAAAATGGGGTACCTTTAAATCCATTGGGTGAATCGTCATTTTCCCTATTGAAAGTAGCTTTTTGGGGCTATACACCAATTTCAGACAGACCCATTTTCAGAGCTGCCCAAGTTTGACCCGCATGCAACCTTGCCAACTGAAGATATCCATCAAAGGCAGAGGTAATTCTGGCGGCTAAGTTGATTGAGAAGAGACGGCAATGTTGATGGGATTTGGTTGGGGATTCAGATTGATACCAAGTACGCAACTGTCAGAAGTCCCTTCTGTAACCCCTGAATCACTGACTTGGTTTAATGAAGAACGAAGCAAAAAAAGGGAAAACACATATTAAGAATGCTACAGACATGTTATACAGTAAAAATTGTGGTTTCCACACTTTTCGTGCATTTGTTCATGCCAATTTCAAGTCATTGGAATTCGACTGGGCAACGATGATAGCATCAGCCCCAGGATCGATGAGGACGCTGATGCTGCCAACAACGCAGCCGATGCAGCCCTGAAAGGATCTTCTCAGCTGATGATCGCTTCTGCATCATTGGGATGGGATCTGCAATTGCAAGACTTGGTGGAAACTCGTCGCTGGAGGATGTTTCAATCTTATCTGTGCATGTGTTGAGTTATTGATTTATTTCCGTATGGCACCTAATTGGTTAGTTATGTTGTTAGTTTTCTATTTGTGTAGAGCAGAGCTTCATACTTCACCTGAGCACCCCTTAATGGGCTGTAGCCCTAGGCAAACACAACTTCGGTGCCTCTGTTCATGCGCTCCTTTGCGCAAACCTCCCGGAACATGCGTAGTCTACCCGTCAACCTATTTGGCCAATTTTGGCCCATCAATGTCAGCTTTGATGTCTTATGGTAAGTCTTGTTTTGCTTATCAATTTATCTCATCTAGTATTGCCATTCTTTGTTCATCCCACTTAGCAAGTGGTTGCCAACCAAAAAAAATAACATAATGATCATAATGGGGTATGCAGTATCCCACCAATCTATGCTTTTTTGGGGGGGGCATAGGCTTCCCACTTCGCAGTTCTCCTAGGACATCATTACCTCGTTGCTGCCTGTGTCGTCCATGGAAAGCCGCAGCTACCGCGAGCTCGCTTGGGCCTCCTATGAATTGGGCCTGCAGGACTTAGCCCGGCAGTGCCTGGAGATTTGCAGTGCCGTGGTGGGAAATGCCGGGCACTGGAAATTGCATTCTGTGATAATTGTGTATAAACATATATAGTTATAGAAAGTTATATATATATAGAATTACATATATATTGTATATATACAGATATAATCATGAATGTAAGTATATATATATAGTTGCATATACTGATATATACTGTATATACACAGATATAATCATGTAAGTATATATTTCTATGTATGATATTTACATATTTGTGTAAGTATACACATGAGGGAATGATGTATGCATGCACTCTAAACATCCTGTGGGACCGAAAACCCGAAAACATGGCGGCATGTTTGTTCAACTTCACAAGGATTCCACTGGTGTTTCAGTCTTCATGGTTTTCGCTGCAGTAATTACCAAAAACCCTAGATTGTTTTTTGGAAACATACTAGTTGGGAAATAGATTACCCTCTGGTAAACTAACATAACTATGGAAAATCACCATTTTCAATTGGTAAATCCACTTATAAATCACCATTTTCAGTAGCTTTTTGTATGTTTACCAGAGGGTATCATAGGGTATCTATATAAACCCAAGCAAATCAACATAGATCAAGAGCCACATCGCCTTGAATATGATACATCGCCCTATGTTTCTTCCACAATTCCACAGGGCCGTCCGCTGCCAGTAGCCAGGGATTAGTGTTGACAAAAGGGAGGAAAGTTATTGATATGATGTCAATCAATAAAGGGGATCAACCAATAACTTTCAATTTTCAACAACATATCAGGGTTGATTAACCCCTGCAACAACTGTCAAATATGTTGTTGAAACAATATACCTATGTTTTTTCCCCGTCGATCGTGGCTGTGATCGTGGCCCTTGCTACGCGAAAACCAAAAAAAAATCGTTGGTGACGCTGAATCCGCTGCTGGATCCCTAGGATTCCCCGGTTTATCCAGGGAACCGCTACTGAACTAGGTGAATTATATACGTATCCACAACAGAAGGAACACAAAGACATAGAATTGTTATGAATTGTTCGAAAGTTGTTATTGCCATATCTTTTTGAATCATATAAATTAAATTAATCATCATGCATTTCATGACATCAAAAAATACGTAGACCTTTATCATTATTAGCAGCATCATAATGTTGAATATTGCTTGCTACACAAGAACCTCTATGTGTAAATACTCTCACTTTAAGACTGTCTATCCTAAGATCTCATGTATATTAAATATTATAATATAATATATTAGCTACAGCCAAAATCTACCGCAGTGAAGACTAGTATTCGAGAGGTATCTAATTTCTTGGAAATATTTCGAAATTGAGCTGAGGCTTGGAAGGCGCTAATAAATTAAGTCGAGGCTTTGAAATCGATAATACGCTCGTATTGCTCAATGCTGATCATCAATATTTTAGAACATTTCATAAAGTCATATAATGTTGCATGATATTTTATCATATCACATTAAATTATTAATATGTATTCATGAATACATCATATGCTAGTACATTACATAACATAATATTACCCTCTGGTTATTTAACATAGCCATGGAAAAACACCATTCAAAAAGGGGTATATCATTAATATAAATGGCAATTTTCCAGTTCGCAAACTCTTAGTTTACCAGAGGGTAAATCCCATATCATCCCATGATTCATCATTGTTAACCCATTGTTATTCACCATTAAAACTCACTATTAAATCCCCATTTATAGTGGTTAAATCACCATTTTTCAATAGAAGATATGTCCATGTTATTCCCAACTGGATCACATCGGAGGCCCCAACGGCCCCAACGGCCCCAACGGCCCCAACTTTGTGGAGCTCGATGGCTTCGATCCGAGCTCTTTTCACGGCGCGAGGCGAGAGGGGACCTTGGTTTGTTGAGCTTAGATATATGTACAAAACATACATTGCATATATGTATGTATATGGATAGATAACTACATACCCATATATATATATATAATCATATATGTGTATGTAAATACATATATATCACATAACAAGTATATACCTGGACCTTTATTCACAGCACAAAGAGCCGCATTTATCGCACAGTGTCAGTATTGTTGCAAGGATCCAGGATATATATATATATATACAATGTAACATGTAGCATCATCTAGTTAATTATGTGTACGGAATATCGAAGAAAAACATGGTTAGACTGATCGGCGAGTCGACCAAGATGGGGGTTCAATCCACTCAGACGGGGAATGCTTGGGGGTTTAAGCTGCAAAAGTGTGGCTTAACAAATGAACATGGTGAGTATTGAACTGGACTCAGACAAGCCTGCTGGTTGATGGTTGATAATATATATATATATAGTAAAATCTGGTATCAACGGGCATATGAACATGAAAAAAATAAACATGTTGGTTTCATTTGTTCCTTGAGAATCTATCCTTATTTTGGTGATGGCAACAATATGGTTGTTGGTTAAATCCCTATTTTTGATGCTTGAATCCCAATCTTTGTTTGCCAGAGGTCATCCATTTGGGTGAAAAAAACCTATCAGCATGCTGGTTAAATCACCAGTTGCTGGTTCAATCCTCAGGTCAGCGCAGGTCAGCGATCACTTTGCAACGTGGCCTTCGCCTTTCGACAAGGCGCCCATTTGTGGGCATACGACGTGGTGATGGTTTCTTTGATTCCCCAAAGGAAGATGAATGTCCAGTTGCCTAGTAGCCTGGTTGAAATCTAGATTTTGTTCGTGTTTGATGTTGAATTTCATTGAATTTCCTGGTAACGATTGGAAGGAGTAAGAGATATTTGATAACGGATGTCTTTATGACCAAAGCATACTTCTTTTCGTGGGTTGTTCAATATATAATATATTCAATCCTCAGTGCACCAACAGTGCGGTATGTGCTAAGGGAAACCATCCTGCTTTTTAGGATTTGTCTTGGAAATCCGTCGTTCTGAAATCGATGGCCGTCGCTGCTGACAGTTTAACTCTTGTAGATTTTAAGATTTTAGGATTCAGGCGAATTTGGTTTCTTAGGCTCATGTAGATTATCTAGTAGATTTATGAATTCCGAACCATCCGCAAGCGTCAAGGTTGAGGAAGTTTCGCAAGCATTGCTTCAGATGGACTTGCCCCACGAAAAACACCTACGGATCTCGAACTTGGACGTAGATCTCAGAGCCTGAGCGGCGAGTGGTGCGGAAGAGTAGGATATGTATGGCCGGATGATACGAGGAATGTGGATTATGAAGCCTTTCAAACTGGAGAATGTATGGATATCTATGGATGCATGAGATCAAAACTTACTGCTGCCATCTGCTGCTCATAATTTGGGGTGAACATCCACGACTACCAGCTATCCCATTTGAGCGACCAGTGGACCCTGCTGGTCTCCGGTCTCCACTGTTACCATTTTAATGATTTTAATGGCAACTACCAAAACATGAGCAGACATATCAGACTGATTCAGATGGTGGTTGAGTCCTTATTTTATCTACTTTCTCCCATGATCCCCTCATTTGTTCCCAAGCTATCCCCGCTGGTGGGGTTTGGTGGGTGAATCCCTGTGTTTAGCCCAGAGCCCAGGATTGCAGCAAGACACTCTGGTCTTTGTCTTGGCTCCAAAGCACTTGACGACTTCGGGCCAACCCCTTGGTTACTAGGCATCATTGGGCATCCAATATCCAATGGCTGTTTCTGGCGAGCCGCCCTGTTCACAGAATTGTTTGGTAGCTGAGCAGCGCACGGCACATCAAACACCGTTGGAATCAAGTATGATACCAAATAAACCTTGAAGGGGAAAATGTTATGGGAAGATCCGCCTTCGAGAGCGTGGATGAGATGCAATACTAAATGATTCTTTTGGAAATTCACAGATCCAAAACGAAACCGAGATGTCTATAGATGTCTTTTATCTAGGGAGAAGGGACTATTTTGAATTGACTCATTCAACAAAGGACGAGCAAATCCTATGGATATGCGAAAAAAAATCCGGGTGCCGGAACCACAAATTTGCTGGCGTATGCTGGATTCGAAACATCCATCCAAGCATTTCGGACTAAACTTCTGCCATCCCTGGAGCCGTTCGTAAAGCGAAGGCTTGGCACCTATCCATCTTAGGGCTGACCGTCGCAGTCGAGAATAGTCAGATTCACCCGGGCGAGTGAGTGTGAGAGAATAGTACCGTCATCCACAGTCAGAATCTATAGACATCTCATGATATCTATATAATCTATATAGATCTATATAGAATATATTTAGAATATATATATATATATATTTAAAATCTATATAGATATAGTACAAGTGGAATCCCTGTAGACGATTCTTCTATGAATCGGAATATCTAAGCTGAGATATGGATAAACATGGCTTTGGCATAGCTTGATTACATTGGTTCCAGACTTGCACGATGATGGCACTTGGCCAATGTTGGCAGTTGGCCAATGGGCTGAAAGGTTACCATGGTCGTGGGGTGACATCACAAGTCTCAGATGAGGTGATTGAGATGTACCGAGATAGTTTCTGGGGAAACCCTGGATGAGTAGTCTAATCCCTGATATACTTTTATATATGATATTTTTATGCTATAAATATATAGAATACGTTTGCTAACGTTAAACAAATGCAGGGTATGTAAGACCATGATTTCAGGCAATGATTTTCACAACCCTTACGAATCCACATGTCCTGTGAGACAGGATGTGTGCCCGGTAGATCGCTAAGTATTAAAGCTTACAACTAGCTTAACATGTGGTTTATGCTAGTTACTAGTGGTTATAAACCAACAAACATAATTAGAGCACCACCGCAACACGGATGCGCTGCCAGAGGTTCCACAGTGGCAAGACGTAGGCAACTTCAAGCCGCTGGGCCTTTGGTGTTGAGACGATCCTCCCACTTTTTTCTGGCGCAGGTATGGCAGCTTTATGGTTTTTGTAGAGGCTTTTTGCAGGTTACACTTACAGAATGTTGCAAGAAGTGTAATGACATGTAAGTAGAATATACTTTTTTGGTTTGCTATTGCATTGCGACCATGATTGCCTCTTTCTTTTAGTCTCCTTGATGGAGTTGGAAAATGTTGGAACCAACATTGTTTGTGGGGACTAAGCTCTAAGTGTACTGGTTGCTCAACAGCTTCCCATCCTCTCAACATCACTCAAGCTTTGGGTATCTACTTATTTAAAAAACAGAATGCTAAAAGTCCAAAGTCAACTTCCCATGGTGTTTTTTTCCATTAAGTTAACTATGGTTGTCCCATGGTTTTCCCTACAATTTTCGCATGATCTCCCCATGGTTTTTCCGTTTTTCTGTGATTTTTTCCACATTCTGCGCAAGTTCCACGGTTCAGATCTGGCTGAAGGCCCTGGGCTTCGACTGTGTGGAGATCAGCTACCATGAAGCCGCGACCGCTGCAGGGATCGTATGGCATATATGGTGTATTACCATCTGGTAAACTAACATCACTATGGAAGCCATGGCCATAGAGTTTGATGATGTCCCGTTCTTAAACATATGGATTTTCCATCGCAGACTGTTAGTTTACCAGAGGGAATGTTTCATGTATCCCATTGTATCCCTTACTTGTTGGATCATTTATTGAAAGACATACCAGAAAAAGATGCCTTGTTTGAAAAGTGTTGTCATTGCTTTTGATTGGATGAAAGCTGACATGGTTCCTCCAAGCTCCCTTGAGAAATCAGAAGTAATTACGCGCCATTGAGGGCTCCTGACTACACCTTAGATATAGCATTTGAAGAATAACCATGGACATATACCATTATTAATATACCATGTTGTGGATATATACCATTATTATATAACCATGGATAATTATATACCATTATGAATATACCATGTTGTGGATATATACCATTATTATATAACCATGGATAATTATATACCGTTATTAATATACCATGTTGTGGATATATACCATTATTATATAACCATGGATAATTATATACCATTAATAATATACCATGTTGTGGATATATACCATTATCATATAACCATGGATAATTATATACCATTAATAATATACCATGTTGTGGATATATACCATCATTATTTAACCATGGATAATTATATACCATTAATAGTCTCTTGTTGTGGATTTGCCTACCATTAATGGCCGAATGACCAGCATGATTCGTGGTTCCATGATGTTCCACCATGGAGTTTTTGTTCAAAGCTGAGTCATGGATCGGAAATGATCGGAATATCTTGGAACCATTCGAATCAAAATTTAGATCAAAATCATCAAGAAATCCTTCCTTTTTCCCATTTCGATTTATTCGCCATGTTCATTTCGAGTCGTCGCTCGAATGTTTTCGACACCCAAATCGAACGAAACCAGGATGAGTTGGTCTGAAATGAGTTCGTTGGTTGGTATCCCCAAATCGCAAAAGATCATCATTTCAATCGTTGGCATGGTGATTTTTGGTACTTTTTGTTCCCCAAATCTGACAGAGACGCTCCATGGCATGATCTTGGGTCAAAAATATCCCATTGAATCTCCTCCGATGAAACGGCTGGTGTTTCTATGGATGTAAACTTTACGAACACCAGCCATAGATAACAATGGATATTTTTTTATCGGATTAATATCCCCCCAATGAACATAGACCCTGCTGAGTTGGAAGACAAGTTTCAAGAAAGAGACGACATGATATGACATGATTTTCAGGGTCGAAGTCCTAATCATGGAAATGGTACACCCCAAGCCATATGCTCCATCTATGGATTTGTTAACCAACATTTGCCATAAAGAGTCACCCAAATGTAGGTAAATATAATCTGGTTGGTGGTTTGGAACATTTTTTATTTTCCATCATATATGGGATAATCCTTCCCATTGACTAATATTTTTCAGAGGGGTTGAACCACCAACCAGTAATATGCCATACATGGAGCATATGGGCAAGGAATTTTAAGGGAAGATGTGAATCTTCCAGGTCGATGCAGCCGAGAAAGCGGGCAACCTGCAGGCGTTTTTTGGTGGGTCAAACATCACCGATATGTGAGATATTTGATGATATTTGTTTTTTTTTTATAATGGCATAATGGCAAACATGAAGATATAATATAACCCACCAAATTTGGATACAGCGGGGATACAATGGAGATTGATTTTGTCCAAAAACGGAGGCTGATATACTAAAAAGTGCATTTTGTGTGGCGGAAAATGGTGGAAATCATGATCACCTCGGCTCAACTTTCTTTTTGTCTTTTTGTGGCCAGCTGTGTGGACACCCAATTCTTTTTTGAAGCATCGGACAACAGCTGCTTGGAGGTCCCTATGGACTGTCAAAGATCTGTACTGTAGATAGATGATTTCTGGTTGGTGGTTTGGAACATTTTTTATTTTTCCATATATTGGAAAGAATCATCCCAACTGACTAATATTTTTCGGAGGGGTTGAAACCACCAACCAGTGATTTGATGTGGAAAACATTTTCGTTGGAGAATTGGCTGGGCTCATTTTGAAGATAGCCAATTAGATGTTCATTCTGGAATGTTTGGCCATTCTTCAAAGCCATTCTCGGTTGGACCAGACTTTTTCAGACGTTCCTCCAGGAGCTTCTGCGGACTTCGATCTCTAGCGCGTTTGAAAAATGGCAGCGGAAGATCCAACCATTTCTTCGATGTTTTTCCGACCAAAAACCTCCATTTGGTGCGGGATTTCCTGGCTAGCCATGTTTGATTACCAAAGAGTGTTGGTTTTGGGGTTATCTATGTTTTTCATAGGGAGACGTCCCAAGCTCCGATTTTGACACTGCCAGTGTTGGTCATGTTTGGTTCATGGCTGTGAAAACCCAGCTAGGGTTTAGGGTTTTGACCCAAAACCAGACTCATGGCCAAACCACATCACAATGGAACCATGGAAGACGGCCTTGAATCAGGCATGACATTTTGTAACATCCAGATATGGAAGGGCATAGGATATGCACTGGTTGGTATGAGGCGATTTTGATGGAGTGCAACACTAAATAATTCATTGGAATCAGGATGGTTACTATTCCAGTTGATTTATATTTGTTGATGGCTCGAAGCCACCAACCAGTACTGCAAATTACGGGTCAATCAGGTGTATAGACCCAAAAGAATCCCAGTGTCAGGCGGACAGGTAAATCATAGCCTAAGTTTGTGCAAGATGATATAATATAGTGATTTGTTGGATTCTGTTGGTATGTGTTATTTTTTTGTGTTGACTCATGCCATACAAGGCGGTGTATCATAGCTAGCTAACTTGGTATTTAAGTTGGTTAAGTAGGATTTATAGTAGACAAGTAGATACAGCGATTTAGCCCAAAAGTCAAGAGGTTCCTAAGCAACTTGTACCCATTTCCTTCCAATGAGTTTCGCGGGATCATTACCGTAGCTTTTCATCTCTTTGCCCCGTGTCTCATTGTCCGACCTTTGTGTTTCTTGCTCCAACATGGACGGCATCAACGAGCAAGTGGAACAGGCATTTGGTGTGGGTATTGTGGCTGGAGGCTATGAAATTCAGAATCCGTTCCATGTGGTTCTTTGTGTGAGTTTGTTGCTTCAGAGTCAATGGGGGTATACTATCAATAAAATACCTCACACATTCATACCTATCAAATATACACCAAAACATCTATATAGTTGTATAAAGTTATATAGTTAATACCCAAAATTATAGGCAATTACATATGCATATATATATATAATTATATATATATATATATAAATTATAAGTATACTTGCTATGTCATTCACAGCGGAGTTTCCAACCAAACGATCTGACGATGCGTCGCCAGGTGGTCGCTGAGGTTGAAGCAGAAGCCGAGATGCAGCGCCCGCTTCTTGCTGTGGGGAAGATACCCGTGGCATCCCGTGGCTTCAAAAAAATGGGGAGAAGAACAGAAAGGAAACCTCCTTAAACTTTTGATTGGGTTGTTATTTATACATATTTATACTTTTTTGTGCTACTTACATCTACTTATACTTATATATATATAATGTATTTGATTATCACCTGAGGTGACTGCCGTCTTGAATGGAGGGCCAAAATAGTGCATTCATTTTTTCACTCTGACGGGTGCAACATTTGGGGTGCTTTCCAGTGTGGTACCGTCCCCAGTTTGGGCGTTCAATGGGGATAGGGTGGGTATCCTCTCTGTGGGAAACGCTGGATGAGGAACATGATGAGAATCCAGGTCTTAAGGGTACCCTACAAACCTTTTTTTTACCAACCAGCTGAAAACAAGATGCAGGGCAATACAACTGGTTGGTGGTTTGGAACATGTTTTTTCCACATATTGGGAATAGTAATCCTTTTTCAGATGGGTTGAAACCACCAACCAGATAAGATTGGCCGAAAAAAGCCATGTGTTCCTTGGTGTGATGCAACTTCCCCCAGCAGCTGAGCGAAAGAGGTTGGAAGATATGCCTGCCAATGCCACGAAGCCAGACGCTGGACGAGAGGGTGCAACTGGACGGGTTTCATTTAAGGTATCATTGGGGAAATTTCAACAGCAAAAATGTTTAAGAACTGTGGGTTTTGTAAACACATAGCTTCACATATTGTCCAACCTGGTTTAAGTGGTACAAGTGGTCCTAAACTCTTGACCTATATGGGATTTGTCAAGACTTTGTATACTGGTACGCCCCCGACAATGATAGACTGCCAAAGCCTCTGGTTCCCAAAGACTTGAACTTTTGACCCATACCACCTCGACAAGATGGAACATTGATTTGCGCCCAAGGTGCTTTTCTCACAGTCAGTCTCACAAGTCTTTGAATTGGGAGTCCACCAATTTGCCAATTTGCGGACAAAAACTACGTTGATCGATTTTTGGCGGGCACTCTGGCACTCAAATCCAAGATGATGGGTTTAATAGTGCCACCGCAAATCTCAACAGCCATGGCGGGGGGATGGACATCGATCGAAAGCCATGGGTCACCGGGGGGCAGCCGAGGATAGCAATTTGCCCACCTGCTACTTCCTGGCCACGGCCGGTACCAAGACCTATGAGGGAGACTACCACTGGGCCACTGGGCGTGAGACATGGGAGGTGACATCCTGCAGTCAGAGCCAGTTGATCAAAGTTGAAGAAACATCTTTGAAAATGGGGGTAGACATCCCTGACCCACTGACATTGGAACCGTGAAATGATAAAACAATATAAAACACTTGACAGGACAGAGAGGGGTGTCACTTTTCATTAATCTTCAGATTTTAATCAATCTATACACCATGGAAACCACTTAGTATGGTCGTCATGGAATGTCCTTAGTATGGTCGTCATGTGTAATTGTTGTTCCAGAATTATCAGAACTGGAATATATCCAGAACTATCAGAACTGGACCATACCCAGAATTATCCCCTTACATAGCCCTAAAAATCAACCACCAACCAGAGACTTGTTGCCATCGGGCGATCTGTTGGATGCCCCGAATGGCGCGTCCACGACCCGAGATGATCGAGTTGGAGAAAGGTTGGAGCCCATGGATGCCAGGCGCTGACTGGGTGAATAAATGGTGCGGTATAACATAGTATAGCATAATGATGTTATATGGACAATCTGGATAATCCCCACCTTCTATGGGTTATATATGGATTAGAAACCTATCAATCTTTTTCTGGTTGGTGGTTTGGAACCATGGAATTTTATGACTTTCCATATTGGGAATAAGGTGAACAACTGACTAAGTATAGCATAATGATGTTGTATGTGGATTGAAGCATCAATGATGTGGGTATCATGGGAAACAACTGATGATTTGTGATTTCAAACAGATGTTCTATGTTCAGCCTTACTGGAGATGATGATCCAAATCGACTGTCGCATTTTTTTTCGGGACGGATGGAAATCACCAACCAGAAATCCGTTTGTCTTCTACCATGAATGGAGATAGTTAATTTCTTGTGTATGTATATACATACATACATACATACATACATACATACATACATACATACATACATACATACATACATACAGACATACAGACATACAGACATACAGACATACAGACATACAGACATACAGACATACAGACATACAGACATACAGACATACAGACATACAGACATACAGACATACATACATACATACATACAGACATACATACATACATACACACAGACGTACGTAGGTATATATGTATGTATGTGTATATATATATATACACATACATGTATATATATATATACACAACGCATATGTGATTGGTTTGGTGCTTTCAAATTGGTTTGTTTGTTATCCAACATGTGATTGTTAATAATCATATGTCCCAAGAAAATGCTATGTTTATCTAAATTTTATGAATTCATAAGGTTTACAGACACACCCAAATGTACATAATTAAGACCCTACCTGGGATGATGATCCCAATTGACTGACGTATGTTTTTCAGAGAATGGCTCGACCACTTACAGATGGCTCCACGTCTCTGTTGGTTAAATATTGAACCCTCATGTTTCTTGGTTAAATCATGTTAAATCGTGTTAAATCATGTTAAAACATGTTCAATCATGTTAAATCGTGTTAAGTCGTGTTAACTCATCTTAAATTGTGTTGAATCATGTTAACTCAGTTATCTCATTTTAATTCGTGTTAAATCGTCTTAAATAGTGTTAAATCATGTTAAATCATGTTAAATCCACATGATTGATGGTAAAACCACAAGCTTTCAGGGGTCTGAACCAACCAGCTGCAGGGAACGAGCCCTTCGACGGCAGCACGGATCAACCACTTCGTTATACTCTGGGCAGCTTGGTTCAGCACCGGGGACAAAGGGCTGGTCAGTTTGACCAATGCCCACCGAACCTGGCTGAACAAAATGTGGGCAATCCACGCGTCGAGATATTTCTTATATATTTCTAAGAGGTAAAGCATGTGTAAATCTGGAATTGTCCAACCAGCTATGTTTGTCTACCACACATTGTACCACCCAGAGAAGTTGCGCAGGATACTGGTACGTCTTGATTATTATCTCTGCGAAGCATTAAGGCGTAATGACTCATACTGTTGGAATGGGTTGCTCATGCACGAACTATGGGCATACAGCATACACCATACATGTACACGCATATTTATCTTGACATTGTATGTATGTGTATATGTGTATACATATATATATATATGTACATATGTCATGTTTTGCAGCCCGAAGGGTGCCATCACACATCAGAGTTGATATCTTTTGCTTAAACAGAATGCCTGATCTATGGCAAGAAAATGGGAGATTTGGTTCCACTCCTGCAATCAATCATCAAACAAATTGGTAGATACAAACGGGATCATATCTATTGGGGGTTACCTTATACTTGATTGGAAGAGGACAACATGAATTGATGTTTCTACGTACATTTTTTGATGTGCAGTTGGTTACATGTTTGTAGCCGATGTCGGTTTAGAAATGCGGATTCAGTTTTTCAACGTGTCCCCATTCCATCCCATATCATCCATAGGGAGGCCGTCTCCCAAGAGGTTTCTGATATAGCCACTCTTGAGTTGTGATCTTTAGCATCTCCATGAGCCGAAACACGCCAATTTGCACGTCTGGAAGCAGGAAAGGTCATGGTTCCATAAGTTTTGACTCCTGGAAGGGAGACCACACTCATTGAACCCAGCTATCAGCCATCACATCCTCTCTCAGGCAGGTACGACTTTGAGGTGCACTTTGAAAATGATGCTCGTCACTGGCGCGTGTGTCAGGTGTTTCAATGTACTTTATGTTTGGGATTTGTTGGAGGGTTTGAAGCACCACCTGAAGTGTTCCGAAAGATAGTGTTTAGCCCCAAACGGGTATGTTTATAGTGGAAATGTAAGGAAGATAACGAGCTATTGTCTTAGTCTATGTTGCATCCAGCTCCAATGCAAGTTGCATCAGATTGTTCATGGGATCGCTGTAGCTCACTGTGTTTCTTTACATTTCAAGGAGATCTGAAGACATCCCATGAAGGCCGGAAAGGACAACGATGATGATGATGGTAGTGGTTTATTAATGTTAATTAATTGTAATCAATGGTTATTAATGGTGATTAATGGTGATTAATGGATGATGATGATGATGATGATTATTATTATTATTAATTATTATTATTATTATGTTGATGTTTTTCTTCTTATTATGATTAGGAGAGGTCTTCAAATTTCTCAGGTGTCACATGTAATTGTGAAGATCACCGACTCCAGGGGCAGACGTTTCTGACAAACCGCACATGACAAACTGTGCCTCTTCCCGGTAGCCCGGAAAAAAAACGATCTGGAGAATAGAAAGCTATTGTGTTGTGTGATGTGTGTATCCTCTGGATAAAAGTGTTGGTTTAAAATCTATATAGGTTCCCGCGGCTACAAAGATGGGGGCACTGACATCATTCTAGTCAGATGCCGACTGGCAAGGATTGGCATCTCAGTTGCAAGGGATGAATTCATCCATGTCTGAACCAGTTCATGACAGGACGTGTTTGATACTTCTGGATCCTAAGAATGGTTCTAACATGTTCAAACTCAACTCACTTTGACAAATCCCTTGGTGTTTTTTTTCACACTTGGCTCCCGAGGACTCCGCCGGCATCCAGACCAACTTGACCACTGGAAAGGTGCGTCGCATCCAACGTTTGCAGACGCTTGGAGGCAATGGGATGACACTGAGCTTGACATATGTTGTCTACATCATGGATATGTAGTGTCATATTTCAATCCCCGAAGAAATTTCCACTACAGAAAGGCAGGCCCTGTGCCCACTACAGATGGTTCTGTAGTATCCATTTTGTAGAAAAATGAGAGGCTGTAGCCTGCTTTTTGTAGGAGATAATAGGTTCATAAAGCCCTAATAATAAACGATATGCATTTTGTAGGTGCCTCTTTTGGGCAATCGCTTGATGGATTTTGATGGTGGAATTGCATTTTGTAGGCCTCATATTTGCCACATTTATCTAGCGGATTGAGGATGGAAAACATTTTGTAGGACTGGAAAGGCATGGATGATGCATGTTTTTGGATGGGAGAACACATTTTGCAGGGCCCGGGTCTGCCAAGCTGCAGCCTGCTGCAGCCCGGTCAGAATTTCCACTACAGAATGCTAGGCCTTGGGGCCCACTATAAACCCTCTGAACCCTATGATTTTGTAGTCCCCTGTGACGTCGTGCAGAAGCAAATCGTAGCAGTCGAGTTTTGTAAGGCAATAAGATCCAATCAAAAAAATCGAAATAGCAGTTTGTAGTAAGGATTTTTGATCGATTTTTGACGAGTGATTTTTTTACTGAAAAAACACTGAAAAAATACAATAGCAACTTGTAGTGGCTTTCATGGTTGGGGTCACAGGAAACAACATGACCCGTCTTATGTGATCATGAGCAATTTGTAGTCAAACATCAGTGTCATCAGTGCAACGCGCAATAGCCATCCTCGTTGAAATAAGCACTACAGAATGGGAGGACCTGGGTCCCATATAATATAACATGGAAAACGTTAGGGTTTTTATAGCAAGTTTTGGTGCTGGGCACCTTCATTTTGTAAGGACATTGTTTTCGCTACTAGTATCGGGCTGCATACTTGCATTTTGTAGAGACGTGTCTTTGGTAGAAGATGGTAGGATTGGAAGTCTATGAACCTATGCTAAGTATAAAGCCTGAGTTGGCTGGTTTTTTAAGACAGTTTTATGTTCTCATGATGTTCAGTTTGTAGTAAACACTTGGATTTTCATTTTGTAGCATTGGCGTTTTTTACGCTGAATGAAATTACACTAATTGACACTAATGGACACTAAATGTCACTAATTGACACTAAATTGCACTAGTTGCCACTAAATAGAGCTAATCGATACGAATTGACACCACTAATTGACACTAGATGACACAATGTCACACTAATTGACACGCATATTAGATACCATGTTTACGTGAGGGTCGTTGGAACTTCATGCAATAGTTGATCACAGCATGCATTTTGTAGTGAAGTGAGGCGGCCTCATCATTTTGTAGCGTGCATTGAACCGGGCACGCACATAGAAGCGCCATCCCCTTCAAAGCCCAATGGTATGTTTTGGTCACGTGATATTAGCGTCCAGGCAATCTGCCCCATTTTTCTGGAACACTGAGTTTGCCGTGCGCGCTTCCGTTCTCTTACACGATTCATTTGATAGCTCTTGCTTCCTTATGTGTGTTCTTGAACTGGTTACGTATCATTTTTTTTTGCCCTGAGATTTCATCTTCCCTGGGTTGAGACTGAGAGTAGTTCCATCATCCAAGAATGCGCTTGGGGGTTTGACTCCAAGTGTTCTCCTTGTGAGATTACAGTGTTACAGGGTGTTTGAGCCCTGTACATTCATGGAAGGAGGAATGAATCATGGTCACAATCCATCCTTTTGGCTATTTGGGTGTGCTTGCTGCCTTTTCTTGGATTTGGTATTTTGTCATGGCTTAAGTTTAATCTGTAAGGAATCCTGTTGTGCCCGGACCATTTCTAGTAAGTGCTTTCGTTGTGTATTGCTTGCCTTGCTTTTTTGGTACAGACAATTAGCTGCCTTGAGCTGAATTTTATCGGAACTCTTCCTTTGCTGTTTTTGGTTGCTGTTTGCTCATCATTACGCTGAGTGAAATTGCACTAATTGACACTAATGGACACTAAATGTCACTAATTGACACTAAATTGCACTACTTGCCACTAAATAGAGCTAATCGATACGAATTGACACCACTAATTAACACTAGATGACACAATGTCACACTAATTGACACGCATATTAGATACCATGCTTACGTGAGGGTCGTTGGAACTTCATGCAATAGTTGAGCACAGCATGCATTTTGTAGCGAAGTGAGGTGGCCTCATCATTTTGTAGCGCGCAGTAATTGGATGGGCAGACTTTGGTACTTTGTATCGACTGAAATTTTGTCTGTAAGGAATCCTGTTGTGCCCGGACCATTTCTAGTAAGTGCTTTCGTTGTGTATTGCTTGCCCTGCTTTTTTGGTACAGACAATTAGCTGCCTTGAGCTGCCTTTTTTGTGGGAACTCTTCATTTGTTGTTTTTTGGTTGCTTTTTGTTTATTATTGCACACAATTAAATGATCCTAATTGACCCAAATGAACACTAAATGACACTAATTGGACACTAAATGTCACTAATTGACACTAAATTGCACTACTTGCCACTAAATAAAGCTAATCGATACGAATTGACACCACTAATTGACACTAGATGACACAATGTCACACTAATTGACACGCATATTAGATACCATGCTTACGTGAGGGTCGTTGGAACTTCATGCAATAGTTGAGCACAGCATGCATTTTGTAGTGAAGTGAGGCGGCCTCATCATTTTGTAGCGTGCATTGAACGCACCTAGAAGCGCCATCCCCTTCAAAGCCCAATGGTATGTTTTGGTCACGTAATATTAGCGTCCAGGCAATCTGCCCCATTTTTCTGGAACACTGAGTTTGCCGTGCGCGCTTCCTTTCTCTTACACGATTCATTTGATAGCTCTTGCTTCCCTTTATGTGTGTTCTTGAACTGGTTACGTATCATTTTTTTTTGCCCTGAGATTTCATCGTCCCTGGGTTGAGACTGAGAGTAGTTCCATCATCCAAGAATGCGCTTGGGGGTTTGACTCCAAGTGTTCTCCTTGTGAGATTACAGTGTTACAGGGTGTTTGAGCCCTGTACATTCATGGAAGGAGGAATGAATCATGGTCACAATCCATCCTTTTGGCTAGTCCTTGCTGCCTTTTCTTGGATTTGGTATTTTGTCATGGCTTAAGTTTAATCTGTAAGGAATCCTGTTGTGCCCGGACCATTTCTAGTAAGTGCTTTCGTTGTGTATTGCTTGCCCTGCTTTTTTGGTACAGACAATTAGCTGCCTTGAGCTGAATTTTATCGGAACTCTTCCTTTGTTGTTTTTGGTTGCTGTTTGCTCATCATTACGCTGAATGAAATTACACTAATTGACACTAATGGACACTAAATGTCACTAATTGACACTAAATTGCACTACTTGCCACTAAATAGAGCTAATCGATACGAATTGACACCACTAATTGACACTAGATGACACAATGTCACACTAATTGACACGCATATTAGATACCATGCTTACGTGAGGGTCGTTGGAACTTCATGCAATAGTTGAGCACAGCATGCATTTTGTAGTGAAGTGAGGTGGCCTCATCATTTTGTAGCGCGCAGTAATTGGATGGGCAGACTTTGGTACTTTGTAACGACTGAAATTTTGTCTGTAAGGAATCCTGTTGTGCCCGGACCATTTCTAGTAAGTGCTTTCGTTGTGTGTTGCTTGCCCTGCTTTTTTGGTACACACAATTAGCTGCCTTGAGCTGCCTTTTTTGTGGAACTCTTCATTTGTTGTTTTTTGGTTGCTTTTTGTTTATTATTGCACACAATTAAATGATCCATAATGATCCTAATTGACCCTAATGAACACTAAATGACACTCATTGACACTAATTGGACACTAAATGACACTAATTGACACTCAATTGCACTACTTGCCACTAAATAAAGCTAATCGATACGAATTGACACCACTAATTGACACTAGATGACACAATGTCACACTAATTGACACGCATATTAGATACCATGCTTACGTGAGGGTCGTTGGAACTTCATGCAATAGTTGAGCACAGCATGCATTTTGTAGTGAAGTGAGGCGGCCTCATCATTTTGTAGCGCGCAGTAATTGGATGGGCAGACTTTGGTACTTTGTAACGACTGAAATTTTGTCTGTAAGGAATCCTTTTGTGCCCGGACCATTTCTAGTAAGTGCTTTGGTTGTGTATTGCTTGCTCTGCTTTTTTGGTACAGACAATTAGCTGCCTTGAGCTGCCTTTTTTGTGGGAACTCTTCATTTGTTGTTTTATGGTTGCTTTTTGTTGATTATTGCACACAATTAAATGATCCTAATTGACCCTAATGAACACTAAATGACACTCATTGACACTAATTGCACACTAAATGACACTAATTCACGCTCAATTGCACTACTTGCCACTAAATAAAGCTAATCGATACGAATTGACAAGTGAATTCTGCTACAAAATGCGTGTAGCGAAATCTTGTTGCCAGAAATACATTCGCAAAATGGCAATCCATTTTTTCGAGATTGCATTTTGTAGTGAGCGTATCTTGGCACATATGGATGGGAGGGTTTGCATTTTGTAGGTGGTTTTTAGGTCATGCGAATGGCTTTTTGTAGGTTCAAAATGGGGGGCCCCTGGTTCATACCTACAAGTAGCTTGCACAAGGTCTCCCGGGAAATGTCAACGGGGATATATTTCATATCTATACATATTCTATACATGATTGAACATGATTTTACATGATGTTACATGATTTTACATGATTTTACATGATTTTACATGATTGAACATGATTGAACATGATTTTACATGTCTATTTATTTCATGTATATCGAATGTATATCCAATGTGTCCCTAATGGATATCCAGTGTATGATCTAATGTATATCCGATATATATCTAATGTATATTTAACGCATATCTGATGTATCCCTAATGGACTATCAGACTATCATCATCAACTGGGAATCCCATTCTGCAGCGACCATCATTTCATAGAATGACCTGGAGGGCAATTCGTTTGGTGAGTTGGACAGCAGAGAATCCATAATAATCCATCAGCGCCCCAAAGGTGGGTAGTGCTGAGTAAACTCCAATTGACATTGAGAAAGTTCATTAGGACATGGTTTCCGGGTGATTTCCTACTGACTTGCGAGACTTGCTAGTGATGTCATAGTGATTTCCTAGTGATTCGCTGATGTTAGATTCGCATCATTGCTGACCCAGTCACACAATATAATTAACATGTTGAGTTCTCCCTGACTGTGGAGGAAATGTAAGGAACTGGTTATAGTTGTGAGCCAAGTACATGGGTTTTCGAAAATAGGGCTACTCCCAGTCATCATCCCTTTTATTTTCGGGTTTTCCATGAAATAAAAACCATCCAGCTATTGGGGTATCCGCATGGCTATGGAAACCCCCACATAAGTTCATTTTCTCTGTTGAAGACCCAATATCTTGTGATGTTTCCGCATTTACCCTACAGTACATCCAAGTCCTTGGGTCCTTGGACGTGGCTTTCATTTGGACTTTTGTACCCTTTTGTATCAGGATTCATATCCCATTTATTGGATGTATGACAAAAAATATGGAAGGATGACTTTAATTGTAATGGATAAATGGATAAATGGAATATGGTCCTCCATCCCATTTATGTATAACATGAATCATATTATGGGATGGAGGACCATATTCCATTTATCCATTTATCACGGTGAGGATGGCACGTGTCTGGTCAGATGAAGCAGTAAATGGGACCTCCAGGTCCAGTCATCCTTCGATGTCCGTAGCCCCAAATCCTATGGTGTATTTTCCTCGGATGGCCATGGAATAGAACAAAATATGGCCATTGATTAGAGTAAAATAGAGTAATTATACTTAATTATAAAACTTATCTAACATGGATTAAAATTTGTTACATAAGTTTTATAATTACATATAATTACTCTATTTTGTGGCAAACCCAAATCATACATTGTTGGTTCACGTTGGTTGTATATCCTAATTTAATATCCCAATAATTATGTCCACATATTCTACCCCCATATTCCCATCAATTGGTTGGTTTTATACCCCCATAGATTTGGGAATCAAATTTCACCTCAAATTTCTATCAGCATTTCACGACCTTTCATTCTCTAACAATGAAAATTACTGTACTTCAAATAAGTCAAAAAAAAATCCGAGCATAAGTCTAGCCAAACCACCCTTTTTGTTGGTTTTTGTGGGTTTTCTTCCCCCAGAATCTGGTTGCTTCACGCACCTGGCTTTGGCCCCAGGAAGGGCGAAGCCGCCCCAGCCTGGGAGGGCACCGGGACGCGTCGCCGCGTGGCCAAGACCACGCAAGGAGCAGCGGCAGGTGGGCACCGTGGCACCGGAGCTAAGGGCCTATGGGTATCTCCAATGATATACCCTCTAGTAATTTAACATAGCTGGTGATTTCATTGTGATTTTTTATGGTTTAACAATGGGTTAACAATAATGAACAATGGGATGATATGGGACTTACCCTCTGGTAATTTAACATAGCTATTGAAACTACCCCATTTAGTTCGTTGATTTACCTTTTCAAGATTGTCATTTTCTATAGCTATGTTAGTTTGCCAGATGGTATTTAACAGATATGGTATTTATCACAACAAGAATCACGTGATAGTATTCTACATGGTATTTGTAAATCCAATAATACTCTAAGAATGATATATCCAATGATATTTAAGGAATTTATCCAACAGAATGGGTATTTCACAGCAACTTGTGGTGCTTTTACCCTGCAATTTATGGGACTGTGGCTTAGCCAAGAAGATCCATTTCACGTGTCCGTTGTGGTGAATGGAGGGAGCAGTTCGGAGCTCCTCCAGTGTTTTCAAGGGGAACATGATTAGGGTGAAGGGATTCGAAAGGGATATAGCCTCTTGGTTATTCAACATATTTCTGGAAAATCACCCTTTTTATAGGTAGTATATATATATATATACTAATTATATAATTATGTATATATATATATATTGATATTATATATATTATGTATATTATATATATATATATTATATATTATATATATATTATATGTATATTATATATATATATTATATATATATATATATCGAAATTATCCATCAATGGGTCATGTTCATTCATTTTCCATAGCAAACTGTTCAATAAGCAGAGGGTAATCAGTGAGAATTTATAGCCAGGATTTGATGACTAATTCAAGGCATGGACAATTTGATGATGTTGTGATTTTGATATCAACCGTCATGGTTTTGCCTGTTAATGCTATCAACCAACATTGTTTGGGTATTCATGTGTTTTTTTGCTCAACCCAATTCAAATGTTTATCCCCGCGTAGCACCATGTGACACCATCTTTGAGTGGGCAAATCATCCATTTCCGAAATTTCCCCTGCTGCACTTGGCCAATGGCTCAAAACAAGTGATGTTTTGGTACTAAAGTTAGCCTTGAAACATGTGGGTGCTAATTCTAATTGGTGCCCTATTTTGAGTCACAAAGAGTGTCACCATGCCACTCTATACCCATGTTCTCTCCGATTCTGATCTTTCATCCTCACTGCGAAGCGGCTTGTCAGATGAAAGAACAAATCAACCTCCCAATTCCATCTAATTCCAGTAATTTGGATCCTCCAAGATCACAATCTCAGTGCTGGTTCGGTTCTCAACTAGTCACATTGTGAATATCGTGGATAGTAAGTCCACTATATACATATACATACATCTCCCTGTGCTGGGGGGTGCATCCCAGTTCCATGTGTTATCCATACATGACAAGGTGGTGCTCCTAGTTATGTTTGTTGCTTTTTAACCCCTAACTAGAGCTACAATCACCATAAACCCTAGCTAAGCTAGTTATCTGCACCAACTTACATATCACAAATTGCCTATGAATCCCCGTTTCTGTGAATAGAATCCTGATTTTTGATGTTTTTTTCGGGTTGAAAGTTAAAACCTGTATTTGTTGGTTGTTAAACGTATCTTTCCAGGGCACCAACGTTACCAGTTACAAAATGGGATCATCCTAGCATCATCCAATTATCTTACCCATCATATACCCATAGGAATAATTATGATATTTCTATCTCTTACGATAGTCATGAGGAAAATATATCCATTGGAAGGATGATTTTGGATTGTCAAAGTTTATTATCTCATATACACAATCATCTATTGGAATAGTCGAAGGAAGTTTAGAAGTCAAACTTCCTACAATATGGACAGATGAAAAGCAGAGCAGGGAAGAGGCAGAGAGAAGAGAAAGATTAGAAGAAAGAAGAGTAAGAAGAAAGAAGATGCAGATGCGTGAAAAGGTAGGAAAGTCGCGAAACACTGTGTTTTTTCCAATGATTTGGGGCTCCGGAGGGTCGAAAAGTAGGCTCGCTAAAGCGGCGGGTGCGGAGCCAGCTGGCCAGAGGAGAGATGAAAAATTGCACGCCGTTGTGGTGCGAAGCACACTTCCAAGTCAAAATGTTAAAAACACTAGGGGTGCGGACCACTTTGGACACTTGAGATGTCGAAAAAGTGCACGCCGTTGTGGCGCGAAGCACATTTCGAAGTGAAAATGTACAAAACACACCAGCTTCGGACCACTTTTTGAAGTTGAGATGTCGGAAAAGTGCACGCCGTTGTGGCGCGAAGCACATTTCCAAGTCAAAATGTACAAAACGCACCATGTACGGACCATTTTTGGAAGTTGAGATGTCGAAAAAGTGCACGCCGTTGTGGCGCGAAGCACATTTCGAAGTCAAAATGTACAAAACACACCATGTACGGACCATTTTTGGAGGTTCAGATGTTGTTTCACGTGGCAGGCGCAAGGGACCGTGGACCTTGTCAGAAATGAGCAAAACGTGAGGGTTTTGTAGCATTTTCAACTACAACCACCATTACACTACACCACACTACACTCCAATACATTTACACTACACTACAACTACAACTACAACTACACCTTCACTACATTCTACTAAACTACACTCCACTACACTACACTGCACTCAATTACACTCAATTACACTACACTACACTACTTGTACATTACAGTACACCACACTCCACTACACTACACTACATTCCACTACACTACATACACTACACTACACTACATTACACTACACTACACTACCTTCTACTACCCTACATTACACTACACTCCACTACACTACACTTCACTACATTACTACACTCCACTACATTACAACTACACTACACTACATTCCACTACAATCCACCACACTACACTCAATTACACTACACTACACTACATTCCACTACACTACACTACACTACCTTCCACTACCTTCGGCTACCTTCCACTACACTCCACTCCATTCCATTCCACTACCCTACGCTACACTGAATGACACTGCACCACAGATAGACAGGTAGACAGATAGATAGATAGATAGACAGATAGACAGGTAGACAGATAGACAGATAGATAGATAGATAGATGGATAGACAGGTAGACAGGTAGACAGGTAGACAGATAGACAGACAGACAGATAGACAGATAGATAGGTAGATAGCTAGATATATAGATAGCTAGATAGCTAGATAGATAGATAGATAGACAGGTAGTCAGAGAAAGAGAGAGAAAGAGTGAGAGACATCAATCACCTTTCGATCCATCAGTGGCTTCGCTCTGCCATCCCTGATTCACAACAACCAACCTCTCCTATAGGTTTCCTATTTTTGAAACTTCCGCCACCGCCTTGTGCGGTACTACTAGTATCATGATCCCAAGATTATCATCTACCTGGATGTCATAACTTATCTATAGGATTATCCCCTACATATATTTAGATAATATAGATAATATCATCCCTGAACATATTTTATTATCACCTACCTGGACCTACCCATTTTTCCTGCCATGGTCATCCACACCGCAGGTGCCTCCCTGAACTCCGCTCCAAAGACCTCCGCGGCGCAAGCAGCGCAGGCGAACCGCGCCCAGCGCCGCCAGGGCGCCGGCGCGGCGGGATACGTCCCGGGAGGACCTCATGTGTGGCTCGACGTTACCAGGACACTTCGAGAAACTATAGGTGAACTTTGGTTGGGGTATAATATGTTATAACATGCCATAAGAAACTGGGGTTTGAAATTATTCATAGAAATGTAATGAAATGTATATAAATACATTTAATTGTGTACATATTATGTGCGTATGTATATATATATATTATATATATATGTATATCATGTATATTATAGTCACTATATCCTCAATATCCTTACATGTTCTTATTGTTTAAGCTGCCCTCTGCGCTGTGCACGGCTGACACTGAGAAGCCGTGCGAGCAAGACAATTTAATCTCTAATATGTATAGTTATACAATGTTATAGAATATATACATCTGTACATAGCAATCCCAAATATTGAACTGGTTGGTGGTTTTGAACATTTCGTTTTTCTTTCCATATATTGGGAATAATAATCCCAACTGACTAATATTTTTCAGAGGGGTTGAAACCACCAACCAGAGAAGGATTGGAAACCTCGAAATTATGGGCATGATCTATGCCATCCTGGTTCAAGACTTCTCTTTTCTTGTTTGGTCCTCTAGAAATCCGCGCATGTACACATATACATACATGTACATACAGTGTCAACTGTCAACATATTTTTCTGCCATCTAAGAATACCCTTTTGCCATAACGGGAACATCATCGAATGATTAACTACCAAACATGGTGAGGTCAGTGGGGCCAACAGTTTTTAACCAACTAGATGGTATTTTTTTCCATGACATATGATGGGTCAACGGTGATTTTCCGATTTTCCATGGCATACGATTGGTTTCTTTTCGGGACATCAAGCATGGCCTCCACTTGAGGCTTGTGTTTATCCCATGTTATCTCAACATGGCCGATTGACTCAGCGTCATGACAGTCGCTGCCCCGAGGAAAGTGGCCGAAACGCAACGCCCCGCGCTGTCGCAAGCGGCCGCGGCTTACAAGCCGGGCACCGCTCCCGGCGCCCCGGCACCAGCTGGGGACAGATATTCCGTGCCTCGATACATGCGACCCTTGAAACTTGGCGATCAGCTTTAAGGGGTACCCTCTGGTTATGACTAACATAGCCATGGTATAGATGGCCAATTTATAGATGGTCTACCTACTACAAATGGTGATTTTCCATGGCTATGTTAAAATAACCAGATGGTAGACGTGATATTTTGTGATTCACCCTCAGTGGGTGAAAACGCATGTTGGGTGATCAGTGCAAAAACTGGAATGAATCCTACTTACCCTACTTCCAAGTAGGCTTATAACATGCACATGCAGACTAACCCAGCTAATTTAGGTGAACCACCAAGTAGACATTGAGTGGCCGCAGATTTGTGGTATGATACTGATACCCATCAGCTCAGAAAGGGCAGTGGCGTCATTGATGTCACCCACTCATAGCGATGACAATGATTCGTGATTGATTTAATATCGTATAGTTTGGCAACAGTAGACGATCCACAATGATATTAATATACTAGATTTCGACAGGCTAGTGCCGTGCCTTTTGCACGTAGATCACAGGTTTCATGAAAAATGGGCTGGCTTTGGGTTTAGGTGCCCAACATGAGACGGTTGTTTTGCTACAAGAACTGACTGTGTCAAAAAGAGGGTCCAAAGAAATTAGACAACTTTCATTTTTCAGGGAATATAAGTACAGTATAAGGTAAATATCATCGAACTACCGTCCTGGAAAAGCGGTTCTATCTCTTTGGCGATCTCTTTACTATTTCACAAGAGCTAGGGACATTGGTCTTTGAAATTTGGGACTCCGATGTGGTAATCCGTCTATTAAATTTCAAAAAGTTGTTTCCACGAGCTATTTTTTCCCGCGATCCACCTGCTTCGTCGCCACCATGGTTGAAGAAGTGGTGCTATTTATATGTGAGACTCTTCCCCTTTGCTGACAATAAACATAGCACCAGGATGTTTATCCCTGTTTATGTCGTACTGACCTAGTAGGGCAGTAGGGGGCAAGTGGTGGATCCCATGATGAGTGCCACACTTTCCACCCGTGACCAACCACCAAAGTTGAATGCCGTTGTTGAAGTACACAGTCCGTGTGTACGTAATGCAATGTCATGTCAGGTAATGTGATGTACTGTAATGATCTGTAATGTAGTGTGATGTGATGTACGGTACCGTCATGACTGTGATGTAGCCTAGTCTACTCTAGTCTAAGTGTAGTCTTTTGTGATGTAGTGTGATGTGATGTAGTGTAGTGTGTTGTAATGGAGTGTAGCTTAATGCAAGTGAATGTTATGAGTCATGATGATGCTATGTAATGTGTTATTATGGCATGTTATGATATGTTATGGTATGTCTTGTTATGTTTTGTATGTGTGTGTGTTCTTTATAGGTCATTGACTGATTCTCCCACATTACGACACTTCGATTGGAAGCACCAAGCACAAAAATACTGAGGAAGGGAAAGGCGTGATTTGCTCTTCAACGATGGCTGCTGCTGGGATTTGTGAGGGGTGCTGGGCATCGCCGGTTCTGTCGACCACCTTTCTGGTTTGGCACTAATGTGGTATGGCCACATGGAAAGTGTTCGACCCCCATTTTGGAAGGGCACAGCAGATGCAAATGCCAACTAACCAATTGATGCCCTATTACTAGACACTAATACGAACAAATTGGTCCCCAATTTATAAGCCGTAGCCAATCCCCATGGTTGACTTCCGAAGACGTTTCCATTCCCCAGTGAAAGCTGATCCGACGGCACTGCTACATTTGTAGCCATGGGTAAGCTAAATCTCAGATTTTTTCCAGTTTATCTAGTATGTTGCAGGAGGTACAAGCACAGCAAGTCGATTATTGAATCTGTAAAACTGGGGGTTCCCGAAGCAAGGCGAAGGGTCACAAGAACGATCACTGTTTTCGCTAGCACACAGCCCTTGAGCGAGGTTCTTCATCCTATGTCCCTTAAGCCACGCAAGTGGATGCATAGCTGAAGTCACAAGCCAACATGTCTATACAACTTTACACCGGCACTACTTTATTGGCTTGTGTACTGAGACCATCAGCACATCGTGTTCTTGGAACATCCTTTGATGTCCTTCTGCATGTAATGTCCAGAATCCAGAGTTACAAATTTTTCTCAAGAAGTCACCTTTCATTCGTTTGGTAAGACAATCGGAAATCATGTTGGTACCTTCAACCCAGCGGACATGACCACCAGTTTTTCGTAAGTCATCTTTGAGTATGGCAACATCTATTGCTGTTCTTTTGTCCTCAATCTGGGCATAGGTGCAGATCAACTTATTCAGGCAATCGAAGAGCGACTTTGAATCTACGACCGACACGAAGGGGATCTCTGACAACTTGTTCTCCCACTCTTGTTCCTTCATGTCATGACCTAGTAGTTCCAATAGAAGAAAACGATGCCAGTGAATGTTGCCGATGCCCATGATCATGGATTGACACTCTGCGGACAGGGTATTAACAGTTTTTCGTTTTAACTTCGTAGACTTCCAAGAGGTTACTGACACCATTTGGGGTGTAGTTTCCGTCTCTAACTGTTTGTCATAGAAAATCACTACGTACCCACCTTGGCTGCTGGTGTTGAGGAGCTTGAGGAAAACATCATTGATCTTGGTGTGCTCCAATTCCTGTCCAGGTGGTTGTTTTGCAAAGAACGTCTTTCCCGTCCATGAATCTTCGCCCCAAGTTCTGATACTCTCCGATGTGGTCCACTGATCTTCTAAGTTTTGTCCCCTGTCTGTCATCGTTTTTCGGGATGGCAGTAGTGTCTGAAGTTCTGGTCCTAGATTGGCTCCTGGATGAAAGAGTGTTCTTCTCGGCGTTATATGATGACGAATCCAGAAAGACGAAGTCTCCTCCCAGAAGTCATCTTTTCCATCTTCAAGTTGCTCTCGATCTCTGGAATTTCCCCAGGAAGCATCGGTTGCCACTCCTACTCGAAGTCGTTCTATTGGAATCGGCATCAAAACGATGCCACTCGTTGCAGTTTGCTTGGCCTCCAAAGTCAGTGCATTAGCTTCTAGGAGGTCAAGTACTCGAGGTCGTGGAAATGCTTGTTGAAGCAGTGCCACTCTTCCAGCTAGATCTGGTCTCGTCTCTTTTGCTAACCAGGCTAACGCTCCAACACTCGCTCGGAGGGTTGAGATTTCCTTCTCATCGCACATGGAGTAACGTTGCCGTTTCCGTTGCTTGGTCAGCTCGATGTTGATCAGCTTGTCCTTGACGTAGTTCTCCTGGTTGACCTCAATGCTGAAGTTCTCCTTCTGCCGGAAGTATTTCCCTGTGAACTTTCCATGACCAAATTGGAACTTACCCAGCTTGTAGGTGTCCTTGATCTGTTCCATGCATTTCATGTGATGTTCATCTCCACCATGTAGAAGGTCATCAGTCGCCACTGCAATGACCCCAGACAGTCGGTGTCCTTCTGTCGTCTTGATATGCTTGTAGTATATGCATGGGTCCGCTAGTGACTGTTCATAGCCCAGAGTATCCACCAACAGCTTACGCAAATGTTGAAACCAACAAAAGGGTCCATCTACAAGACCGTAGCAGACCTTCTCGAGCTTCAATAGTTGTCCCGGCTGCATACCTGGTACTCCTTCTCTAGGCTGAGAGGTGTACAACACTCGGTCAATGTTGTCACCTGACATGAACGCTTGGGTAAAGTCCATGAAACCAATCTTCCAAAGATGACTGGCTATAAGTTGTGCAACCATCAAGGCTCCTTCTCTCGTCACCTGTGGTGTTGCAGTTTCTATGTTCTCTGAGCCTGTCTCTGAAAAGCCCTTCATGACATGTCTCGCCTTTGCTTTGCATGGTTCTTCTCCTTCCCAATCGAGAAGAAGTCCTGCAGCCTTCGTCTCTTCGACCTCATCAATCTCGATCTCCTTGGCCGTCAGTACATAACGTGACTCCATCACCTTCTCAGGTTGTTCTTGTCTAATCCTGGCGGACTCTTCCTGTGACAAGATCGTGTAGGCCCCGATCGAGAGATTGTTTCGGATCTCCTTCTCAATGGCCTTTCTAAACTTGGTCTGGTTGATCTTCGTCATCTCATTGAGTCTCACCTCCTTCCTTTGTCTTACCGCAATCAACGGTTCCAGTTTCTGGTAGTAGCAGGCCAAATACTCCAGTCTTGATCTTTTTGTCGGTGGGGCCGACAGCCACTCTCCATCATCATCTGCATCTCGTTTTTGTCCTCCTCCATGGTCGCCTTCGACCGCATGATGTGCAGGTAGAAGACCAGGACTGTCAAGAGGTTCAGTTGCATCTTCTCCTTCAGCAGAATGTCGTTCTGGTTCTCCAAGTAGATCATCAAGGTCTGGTTCAGGTAAAGGTGGTGGTGCTTTGGTGAAGTATCGTTTCTCAGGTGGTGGATCTTCATGTTCCAGTAGTCGCTTCAGATGTGGTGGAATTGGTCTTCTGGGTATCGTCAGATCGTTGCTATCTTCCATCGGCTCTGATGGTTCATATTCGTTCTCAGACTCCGGTCGATCTTGTAGTTCAGGAAGAGGGTGATCTGCCAAATCCAAATATCCCTGCTTGGGCTCAGTGCAGAGATCTGCTTTTGTGTCCACCAAATCCTTAAGCCATCCTGAAACTGTCAGGTTCTCCTCATCGCTTGCTCGCCGAATCCTCTCCGGCGATGCTTTGACCAGTGTACTCTGATATGCCACCCAGATCGTACTTGGTTGGTCTACCATGACAATTTTGGCTGGTCCGCACCAAAATGCTGGTGAGAACTTTCGAGCTTTGTCAGCTCCCTTGCGAAAGAAATAGACCATCTCTCCAATCTGATAGTCCTCCATCGGTCTTGGGCCAGTCTCTATCGCCCGTCGTAGTGAAGCGGCTGAGTCCGCCTCCACAAAGGCCTGTGATGCAGCTTTCCTCATCCTCATCGATCTTTCTACTGAGAGATCTCCCATCCTGATTCTTGAAGGCAGCGCTCTATTCCCATCATCTCCAGCCAGAAGTCCACCCGGAATTCGGGTAGCAAACCCAAAAACGCGCTGCATTGGTGAAAAGCCATTGTTCTGTAAAAGGCGGTTCTTGGTCATCACCACTTCGTCAATCAGCTGTTCCCATTCTCGAGTGTTTTGACAGTTGTAATTGTCCATGGCTTTCAATAACATGAACTTGAACGTCTTTCCATGTCTCTCAGTGATTCCTCGTTGGTTCGGTGCTTCAACAGCTGCAGGATCTACAAAGGATCCATCCTCCTCTGCACTGGTTGTGAAGGCTTGGCGGAATTCACGCCCCATGTCCAGGGCAATTCTTTTTGGTGGTCCGAAAATTCGGATCCATTGTCGATAGGCCTCTCTTACCACATGTGGTTTCTTGTCAGTCAAAGGGATCATCAACTGGAATTTCGAACTCCAGTCTATGATGTTCAGGGCCGGACGGGTCTTGTGTTGTCCTCCAGGTAGTGGAAGATAGATCACGTCTACTCCCACACAGTCATTGAACTCCAGTTCCCTTGGCGGTGCGCTCCTTCTTGTCGGTCGCACCTGCTGGTGTCTTTCACAGACACTGCAAGTAAAACGTCTGGCCTCTGCCAGCACGTCGGCTTTGGCCTTGGAGTACTTCAGGATCCTCAAAAAGCGATCTCGGTCTGGATGTCCTAGTCCTTCATGGGCCCGTCGAACTAACCGAGAAAGACTGAATCTATCGGCTAGTGGTAAAGCTCGTCCTTCTTCCGGTGGTTCTTCCTTCTGTTCCGGGTCCTCTTCATCTGGTTCATCTATTGCGCCCGCAAGGATCTCGTGTAATTCACCTTGATGTTCATCTTGTCCAGGTTCATCTCGTTGACAAAGTTCAGGTCCGCCAACTTGTCCAGGATCCTCCATCTTCTTGAAGTGCTCGTTGATGACGTAGTCCAGGTGATAGATCTCCTCCAAAAGGACGTTCGCCTCCTTGATCTGTATCGGAATGCCAAGATGTTCACTATGGCATTTCAAGATCGCATCGATTAGTCTCACCGGGTACTGTTGAGCCATTCTGGATTTCGTGCCCCCGATGATCACTTCATGCTGGTGGCTTCTATCACATCGCCTGCTTAAGACTTGTGCCATCTTTTGACAATTGGTCAGAAATCCAGTCGCCTTTTGATGTAGTCCTCCTTCTGGACCTCTCAAACCAAAGCTGCATTGGTCAGCGCGGGCAAAATGCACATCGGCGCGCTTCAACAAACGAATCATGGCAGCATCTTGCCATGAGGTGGCAGTATATGGATGTTCAAAAACAAACTTGAGATTCAGTGATCTGCATAATTCGCACAACTCAATGGCAAACCTCAACAACCTTTTTGCCTTGGCTTGTTCTTCAATGAACTGTTTCATCAACTCAGGTTTCGTTTCACGTTTGTTTTTCGACAAATTCTGCAACTGTGAATACAACTTGCATGGTGGCGAAATCAACACAAGACCTGGTTTGACCTGAGTAATATACCTGATG